GCGATGGCCTCCCCGCCCCTGCGGGCGCCCGGTCCTGCCGGCGGGGCGGGGCGGGGCGGGGCGGGGGCGGCCGCTGTCCCTCCGGGAGCCGGCGGGCGCGATCCGGTCGCGGAGGAGCAGCGGCGAAGCGTCGCTCGCCCGGTCCCCTCGGCCTCGGGGACTCTCGGCCGGCCCGGCCTGAAGCGGCTTGCCTGCAAAAACGATGAGGCCGCGTGCGCGCTCGCATGCAGAGCAACAAGAAGAGGGCATCTGAGCATGAGGAAAGCGCTTTGTCCTCGCGGAGAAACCCCGCCCACCCCGTAAAGGGATCCCCGGGCGAGGCGCCTCCAGCTGCCCCCGCCAGGCTTGGCGGGCGCCCGGGGCCGGAAGGGGCTTTGGCGCCCGCCCTTGCGGGCAGCTCCTCCTGGCCGCCGCCGCCGCACACTTACAGGCGCTTGCCCTTGCGGTCAGCTCGGCCTCCTCGGCTGCAGGCGCATCCCGGGTGCGGCGTGTGCTGCTGCTGCCTCTGCTGCTGGGGGGGGGGGGGGGGGGAGAAACGACCGGCGGGATAAGCAGGCCTGCCTAGGGAGGGGGCCTTGGGGCCCCTGCAGGCGAGGAGAGGCGCCCCGGACAGCCAGAGCAGGCCCGGCCCCCGGAACCCTCGCCGGACCGGCCTGGAAGCGCCTCCCTCTCCTCCAGCCCGCCCGCCGCTGCCCCCCGCTTTGGGGTCTCCCCGCTTGCTCCTTCCCTTCCATGGAACCAGGGTGCGCCTCTTTGCACCCCAGCAGTTACATACCAGTGATGACACATCTGCATTAAAAAACCTTTAAAGATTCTGTTCCAGGTTTAGTAATCATTCACTGCTACCAATGCCACTGAAAAGTCTGTTAAAATTACTGATTACAATAGACTAGCCTATATTTTACGTGTTTCACCTATTATTCACACATTACATTTCTCTCCTGCCTTGGATCCTCTGGTGAGGAGCCCAAGGCAGCTTAGGAAGCTCTCCTCCTCTCCATGTAATCCTTCCAACAACAACCCTGTGAGGCAGGTTAGGCCGAGGGCCAGTGACTGGCCCAGGGTTACACAGTGGGCTTCTTGGCCAGGAGCGAACTAGGATCTCCCCAGTCCCAGCTCAGCACTCTTCACCACCCTGGCGCTCAGATTTTGGCCTGTGGCAGCTGAAAACATTAGAAGCCAGTCTTCCAAATTAGGGTTTATGCCAAGATGTATATAACATTGCCGGTGACTGAAGGAGGGCTTTGTCAGTACAAAGAGGAAACTGTTTGATCATTGTGAAAATCCAGCATTGTTACTGATGTGTCACTTACTGCAGGGCCTAATTAATTTAGTCATCATTCTGTAGAAAATACAAGAATAACAGGCTGTGAAAGGAGTGGTAGAAGAACTTTTGCCCTGTCTGAAATATTCTCCTCCCTGAATATTTAGTTTTCATTTTTTACAAGCCTATTTATGTAGCCTGTTTTACTCAGGTTGAAATAATGAAATGCAAGCAGCTGAGATCTTTCCCATTTGCTCTCTAAAGAAGGCATGCAGTTAGATATAAAATTCTGTATTTATGTTGACACTGTTCTGTGATAATTCCTACCTACTTCGCCACAAATTTTCTTGCCGCATTCCTATATCAGACACAGAGCAAAGGAAGAGGTGGCAGAGGCAGCAAAATGTATAAAATGAACACACTTGAATTTTAAAGCATTCACTTGCCAAAAAATAAAAACTTTTCTACTTGGGAACAGCCTCATTAATTCAAAATGCTGAGATTTAAAAAATCCCCATGTACTCAGAAAAAATACACTCCACTGTAGGGACTTCCAGGAAAATAACTCCCAGGGCTACCAGTCAAAATCTATTGCACATTCCATCTCTGGTACCCCAACTATATTGTTGTTACTCTTGGTGGAAGAATAAAAGCCGGAAAACATAGGAAAACACAAGAGGGCCTCAAGTGGAAAATGTCATTGTCTAGTTTGAACACACCCTCAGCTGAACAGCATTGATTCACCAGTAAGTTCTTATAGAATTTCCACTGTAGTAGAGTTTAATTTTTAAATCTTCCTTATCTTTCGTGCATGCAGCATGCATGCATTTCTTAGCCATCTTTCAAAACAGCTGTCTTCCCAAGGCTTACAGTATAAAACAAGCAAGTCTGTAGACCAAGTTCATAAGCTGATGAGTCACTTTTTAAAAAGTGTGAAAGTGGACCAGTTAAAACGGGACAAATCCGAAATGTAAACAGCAAACTAGCAAGCTCATGAGGAGAACATGCCGAAGGCCTTCCCCGCTGCCCTCACCCCATCCTATCCATTCCTTCTTGGTGGCTCCCAGTTCCCAGCCAACCGTGGGAACCATCTCCCTCGGCAAGAGCCCCGAGACGAAGGTTTCAGAGGCTTCCTTCCCCGGTAGGTGAGGTTTCCGGAGATTATGGGCCAGACAGCCTCCCTCTCTGGCAGAGACATCCCTGCGCACTTGCTGTGTGCCAGCCCGCCCCAAGCACATTTCCTGCCATTGTTGGCTGGGAACAGCCCGCCTCCACGCCAAGGCAGCGCGCAGGCAGGAGCTGGCCAGCCCAGGCCCCTGCCGCAGGCGGCCACGGAGGCCCGCACAAGCACAAGCACCGCCCCGGCGAACGGGCGGGAGCCACGGAGGGGCAACATGCTGCCCGATGGTGGTGCGGGGCACTGCCTTCGCCCTCCCACACCCAGTGCCCACCGGTTGACTGGGGGAGTGGAATGGGGCCAGCTGGCACTCCGGGCCTGGCCTCTGGCAGCAGCCGTGGGGCCTCTGGCTCTTGCTCCATTTCATGCTTCAGTGACTTGCCTGAAGTGCGTTTGTGGACAACTGAGAACCAAACCAGAGAGATGTCTCAGCTCGCATTCTCTCCATCCCCACTTCTCTGTAAAGAAGCCTCAATGAAAGGGTGGGGATTGACTCTGAGGAGGCAGGTTAGGTTTTTCTGCACCTTGTGCTACTCCCAGTGATGGCTATCACAAGCCCCCACATGCTGGGCGTGGACATGTGGAGGATGCTGCTTCCGAGAAGTCCTCTCCAGCCAACCCTCTTCTGCCCAGAAGGGTGGAAGAGCGGCAGTCCCATCCCACACGCTCCCTCACGTGAACAGCCCAGCGGAGAGAGCCACCCGTTCTGTCTGTAACCCCCGAACTCATTTAAGATCTCCTACTAATTCATTAATTTGCCCCAGTAAACCCACTGAAGACCGTCTCTAACAGCCACCTCATGCGACTCTGCATCGTGGACCCCCAGGCCCCTGTGAAGTGGCACCAGCAAGCCCAAAGCACCCAAGGAATGACCACTAGGGGGCAGCCAGTGCACATCACGCCCCTGGAATGCCAAGACTGTGTTGGTCCAGCTTAAGTTTGGGAGGAGCACCAGAAACTTTCCACCAGGGGAAAAAGACCTCTGTGAAGCCCCACAGATCTTGCACACCTGCAGCTGGACCACTGCCTGAGGAACGCAACCCTTCACCAGCTTGCGATACTGATTTTCCTCACCAAGGGAGAGTCTCCTGGCCTGGGCCACCAGAAACAGCCTGCTGCAGGCTCCGCTGGATTTGGGCCTCACCAGGACCTGCTTGCAAAACAACGAGGTAGGGCTGCAGGAACAAGAGTGGTTCTGATCACATGCAGATGCACCAGTAGGCTTGGGTGGCATCGCTCCTTACAGGGAGACCAGGCTGCCCTCTGCTCGTCACACGGGGGAGCCTTGTCTTTCCCGCCGGAGCCCCAGGGACTCCCTTTCAGCAACCTGAAGAGGGCATCCTGCTCAGGGCAACTGCCCACCCCACACTCCAAGGGGGAAACCAAAATCAGCCCGCTGGTGCAGGGCTAGCCTGACCCAACATCCCGTCTGGGCGGCTGCAGGAGCCTTGGGGCCCGAGAGGCAACACGCCGCTTGGTCCAAAGCAGGGGCCTGGCTCTGGGGACCTTCCTGGTGTCGTCCCATTTTCAGAGCCACTGCACAGAGCGGAGAACCGCCCCATCCCACTCGGCCCCCTCCAACCACCCTGGCTTCCTACCTTGTGGTTCCCAACAAAGAGCAGGGTGAGCTGGTGGACAGAGCCTCCGTTCCTGGCGAGCTGCTCCTTGAGGGACTTGGGCGACGGCAGCGTCCAGCTTGTGCTGGGGCCCCGCTGCCCCTCAGTGTAGTTCAGGCTGGTGTCCGAGGGGAAGCCGTTGCCGTCCCAGGGATCCTGGAGGAGGCTGCCTTCGCTGTGGGTGCGACGGCGGCACAGGGAGCTCTGTGCGCTCAGGCTGCAGGCTGGCTCATGGGCCAGTGCCTCGAACATGCTAGCACGCTTCCCTTCCTGCCGCTTCAGGTAGCCCTCGTCGCTGTCCTCCTCCTCCTCCTCTTCCTCCCCCTCATCCTCCAGGCCCACCAGGCCACCGAGCTCCAAAGTGGCCATGTCCATCACGCCCTGGCGGAAGGTGCTGTCCAGCTGCAGCTTGGGGGGCGTGAAGGCCGTGGGGCTGCTGTGGGGCTCTTCCTTGCATCCCCACTCCTCCTTCCTGTGCTCCACTGGATGCACCCTGGGCTCCGCTGCTCTGGGGGCGCCCCAGGCCTCTGTCGTGCTCTCCTTGGCCAGCTCCTCTGCCACCGGACAGGCAATGTGGCTGGACTGATCCTCCACTGCAGGGGACACGGCTTCTGCTCTCTCGACCTCTGGCTTAAGCATCTGGTAGGACCAAGGGGAAAGGGTGAGACACGTGCCAGGGCAGCAAAATGTAACAAAATAAATTAGGGCTGTAATCTTTAATTGATTAGGCAGTTATATGGTATATCCCTAATTAATCAGGTAGCAGATTTAAAATTTATTTTCTAAAAGAAGCTACTGGCAGAGCTTTCTCATTTAAGGTAAGGGCATATGGCCAATCCCTCCCCCTCCCCCCATTTTTGCTTTGTCCCTCACAGCTATTAGCAGAGGACGCCCTCTTTGCAAACTAGCATGCAGTGGCCGCATCTACCCTGAGTTTCCCTGGGGTTGGGTTATCTACAACACTGGTTAATCCATTTACGAACAAACAGGCAAATGCTTGAGGCAACAAACAAACAATCTGCAGTAAAATATTTTGATAACCGATGAACACAGAGAAGGTGAAGAACGCCCTGGAGAAAGCCTTGTGAACAGCGCTGGGGCAGGGACTCTCTGGGTCAGGCAGACCCCTGCCTTTGCACTCACATTCCTTGGTCTGCCTCCTCCTAACCACAAAAAGCCAGCACATGTGCCGGAGCTCCCCAAGGCCTTCCTGGCACAACAACCCAAACAGTGAGCACGAACAAGCAGCCTGCTGTCCATCCATCAAAATGTGCCCGACCTTTAATCGATGATCTATGAACGGCAGAAGCGTTACAACAGTGCCTGCTCGATGCCAAGCGTGTGCAGGCAGGGGGTTCCCCTCAAGGCAGGGCCCCCAGGACCCTTCTCCAGCCAGTGGCTCCCCTCCTTACCTTGCTCTCCGCGGGTGGAGCCGTGGGTGACGTGACTGGTTGCTGTTTGGCGATGTGGTTGGCCAGGCACCAGCAGACTCTCTTCTTCTGCTCACAGGAATGGGCCTCTAGGCTGAGCACGCATTCCAGCTTCTAGCACACAGGAGCACAGAAGAGACACAGCCTGAGCAGGCACGGTGCAGAGCCCCCAGGGGCCCACAGGTGGCCTTCCCCAGCCGCAGGCTTCACGGACTGGAGAGCACAACATGCCAGAGCCCAGCGAACTGAGCGAGCGATGCCTGCCTTTCTTCTCCCGCTGTGATCGCTAAGTTCGCAGAGGGACCGCACTGAAGAGGACCACTGACGCAGAGGGAGTTCACACCTCCCAGCTAGGGCTACACTTGCAGGCTTGCAGCTAAATCAAGGGAGCCTGAGGCACCAGGATGAGACTGGTGACACTGTTGTTCTGTCCTGCTAGACGGTTGGCAGCATTTATCTATTTTCATGCTGCCCCACAGCCGAAGCACTCTGTTCTTGCTATCTTCTACTTGAGCCTCCAGATGGAGCAAGGCTCTCAATCTACAGATGGTCCAGAACTCCCTCCAGGACCACCTCTAGATTGTGCAATCTGTACCGCTCCCAAAGCACAGGTGGGGATGCCCGCAGCCTGCTCTGCAACAGCCAGGTCTGACCTGAGTTCAGTTCTGGACTTGCTGAGCAAGGCTCATGTGAACTGGGATGAATTCAGAGAGAAGCACCAGAGATGATCAAGGGCGTGTACAGCTGGGGGAGGGCACACAGTGTGATGGTACTTTTCAAGAACCTGCTCTCCATTGCCCAAGGCTGCAGGGTGCAAAATTACAAGCTTATGTTGCAGGGGAACAGATCTGAGAAAGAAGAGAAACTTCCCGATGGCCAGAGCAGTCAGACAATAGATGCAACTGCCTGGGAAGATGGCGAGGTCCCTGTTGCTCGAGGCATTCAAGGGACTGTCAGGAAATCTTTCAGTGATACTCCTGCAATGAGCAGGGCTGCGTTTGAAGGCCTCCCTGCTTTCCGTCTCCTTGAGAATTCTCAGGTTTTATGAACCAGAGTCTTGGTGGCTGGAAAACCACCTAAGCTTCTCCTCCCCCCCTGCCCCCCGCTCCCTTTTGCAGTGGCTCCCACCTTGCCTGACAAAGGCCTTTGGACCAGTCAGAGGGGCACGCTTGTTGTGAGAGCTCCTTGGCATATTAAATGTACTGACCGAATGTGGATTTGAAATTGTGCTACAGATGACACTCACCTCAGCCAGGTACAGGATGCAGAACTTCAGATCCTCAGAGGAATCTGCAAGGGAAGCAGATTAAAAGAACCACTGAGCACAAAGTGACTCGCACCAGCAAAATGACGACTTTTTCTCTGTCTGAGTAACTGAGCAACTTTCTCTCCCCGTCTGATTCAGCGGGCTTTCTCTAAAAAGGAAAAGGGATGCAACAGGGAGCTTCGCAGCCTTTGGTTGGGAAGGGGGGACACTGTATCTTGGCTCAGGCCAGGCAGACTGCTCTGCAGAGGAGCCTCCCCATTGCCAAAGATCCAGTGCACAGAAAATAAAGATTACTGCTTGACTCGAACTCAGGACCCAGTTCTATGTGCAAAGACAGGCTGTTGGTCTGGAAGCAGCTTTCATGCAAAGATGGAAAGCTGCCCCCAAGCAGTCACATGGGGCCCCTCCCTCTCCCCCAGGCCTGGGCTCTCCAGGGTTCCAGGAAGGGGGAGATTCTCTTGCAGCCTTGCTGCTTGAGGTTCTGGAAAGGCCGTTGGGGTGGATCCACTGGGGCCTACATCTGTCTGAAAAGCGGGGTACCAGGGTGCGGCGAGGCCCTGGGCCTGTGCAATGCAAAATCCCTGGCAGAGCACGGTCATCCCTGGAGGGAGCTCCTCCAGGGCCTTCAAGCATTTGGGGCTTATAGTCTGAAAAGGCATCACCCAAGGAGGTGATGCGATGGAGGCTCTGCAAATTTGGCATGGCGGATAGACAAAACTTCCCCCGCCCTCTTAATAAGCAATCAAGTTCATTAGCAATATTTGCGGGAGTGACAAAAGGAGTTAGTTCGTCACTCAGCACTTCTGGATATAGCCAGCACAGGATGTGGCATTCACTCAGATGGACTGAGGTGGAAGGCAGATCTTTCAAGAGCCATTAATCATGACCTGGGAGACCTGGCTTCAAATTTCCACTCAGCCAGGTAGCTGAGATACTGTTCTTACTTCTTAGTCTCACAGGGCTGCTGTAAGGATAAAAAGAAAGGGGTGGGGACCGTTTGCACTGCCTTGAGCTCCCTGGAGGAAGAGGAGGGCAACACAGGAGAAGAAATAGCAAGAGCCCTTTGGACACCTTTTGCCAGGGAACCCACAGGAGGCGGCGGCTGCTCTGGAGGTGTCTGTCCATTGGTGGAAGGAGAACATTAGGCAAAAGAGTCCCACCCATCAGGGCAATTCTTCTGCCTGGGGAAGAGTAAGCCACTCCTGCTCTGTGACATGCAGCCCCCCCCCCCCCATTTCCACCTTCCAAATCAGCATGGTGGACTCACCCTCTTGCAGCTGGACATCCTGCAAGTACAGGGGGTTCCGAAGGACATTACACTGCCCAGGTTCATCCTCCTTGGTGAACAGCAGCAAGTCTGAGTAGATGAAGAGAGTTACCTGGAAAAGGCAGGAAGAAGGAAGTAGAGATCCAGAAACCCAAACTGCCCCACGGCCACCAACAGAGCAGGAAGCATCCGGTGGGCATTTGCTCCTGCATTCGTCCATGATCTGACTGGCTGCTCACCCACATGTACCACATGACACCTTGCCACCACCCTGACAGATCTGGAGACGACTGCCACAGCCCCCTTGCATCCTTGTGCTCGGGCTCTGGGCCAGCAGCAAAGGAAACGTAGAGCTTGGCAGTCCTCCCGCAACATGGAAGCCACCCAGGACCCAGATTTCAGGAGGCCGCAACTCGGAGCAGTCTAGACAGGATGCAGCGAATGCTGGAGTGAGGATTCAGGGAAAGGACTGAGTCTGGCATTGCTCCACACACTCCACAGCCAGCTAGCCAACCTCCACCCCTCCACACACAAAATGTCTTCCTCTCTCAGTAAAAAAAGGGTTTCATTTACTCTAAGCTCCTTCCTGAGCAAAGCCGTGGAAACAACTTCCAAAAAAGTATAAATGCAGACAAAACAGTTGTGAGAAGAATCAGTTGACAAAACCAGGACTTCATAAACCAAACTCGGCAGTAGCAGCAACACAAATCACACCTGAACCCACCAGCCGTGCCCACCTCTAAGAAAGAAACGGCAGGCAAGAAGCAGGTCCCAGTTCCACCAAACTATCTGCACGGGGCTTCGTTTCCAGGTCCCTGATCATCCTCCTTGCTCTCCTCTGAACTCCCTCCAGTTTGTCTACAGCCTTCTTGAAGTGCATTGCCCAGAGCGGGCACAACACTCAAGATGGGACCGAGCTTCTGAGAAACAGAAGGGAAGCAGTATTCACGTGACTGTGAGGCTGTACTTCTATCAGTGCAGCCCAAAATAGCATTTGCCCTTTTTGCAGCCCCATCGCATGGTTGGCTCATATTCAGCTGGTGATCTACAACAATTCCAAGATCCTTCTTGTAAGGATCCTTCAAGATCCTTCATATCTGTCCTCTTCTGATTGTGCAGCTGATTTCCTTTTCTGGGTGTGGAGCTTGCTCTTTCTCCCTGTTAAATTTAATTCTGTTGCTTTCATCCTGGTGCTCCAGCCTCTCAAGACTAGGACAAATTCTTTTCTTAGGCTAACAAGCTGCTTCCAGAGGCTTGGAAGGGAAGTTGCGGCCACAGGGCTCGCCACTCCCCAGCCCCGAGATGCCTCTGAGAGCAGCCTGCCCCTTACATGCTTCTCCAGAGATCCCAAGGACACAACAAGGCCTGCGGGAGAGGCGTTTCTGGCTTGTCCACTTTCCCACTTTCCTGCCTTTCTGTGCTCCTGGATTAGGGCACAGGCGTCCAGCCCGCGGTGCAAGAGATCAACGTGCCTTTTGTGCCCTTTACAATTTAGGCATGTCAGAGTGGAAATACCGGCTCATCTCAGGTCAGCGTCAGACCCACTGCATCTCAGAACACTTGCCTTTGTAGGCTTGTTTCGGGTCTCGTGAAGCAGCAGCTCTTCCGACAACAGCAGTGTCCGGGCCGGGCTGCAAATATCCAGGGGCTGAAAGGAAGGCAAAGACACGCCTGAGGACGAGGAGAGGCGATGCTGCTGTCCTCTGTCGCGCAGGCCTCATGCTTCCCACTGCCTCCCACCGCGCTTCTGGCTTCTCCCCTGCCCACAGGCCACACACTCTGCAAGAGAACGTGGGGCCGCCTGAGCGCCCCGCAGAATCATGGGGCCGGTCCCTGAAGGCCGCGTGCGGTGCGGCGGCCTGCGCACAGGGCCCGACGGCAGAGCAGCGCAGGCGCCACCCAGTCCCGCTGCTTCAGCGGCAGGAAGGCTCTCTGCAGCGAGGGGCTCCCCTGCTGAGCACCTGGGGGCTCCCAAGGCTCACCTGCACGAAGATGGGGAAGACGAGCACCTTGGGGGCCAGCGTCACGTATGTGCCGTAGCTGGAGTGGGGGGCGTGGGGCCGAGCCTCGGTGCAGGCCTGGGCACCAGAGCTGTGGCCTTTCATGGTCTGCACAGTCTTCATAAGGCGGGATTTCTTGCCATGGGAGCCGCCCTTGCACGTGCCGCCTGGAAAGGGGGGTGGGCAAGACATGCTGGCTTGCACTGGGAGAGCAGGCCCCCCACTTGGCCCAGGACAAGCCCTGCTGCCGGCCCGCATGCTCAGCAAGCCTGTTGGAGAGCTCCCGGGGGACCTGCCGCAGCACCCATTGCTGTGCGGGGCTCAGATGAGCTGCCCAGGGCTGGGCGGGCCACAGGGGCATTCCTGGAAGGGCACTTCACTCGCCTCTCCTGCTCAACAGCAACGGCGGCCACATCCCATCCTGCTCCTGGAGGTCATGGACTTCCTCCCTCGCAAACACATCCAGGAGTCCAGCAGGACAAAAGGGCAAGCATTCCCTTCTTGGAAATACGACAGCCCAAAGCTGCTCAGGGAGGTTCCCCAGGAGCATGCTGCAAGGGCGCCGCTGCGGGATGCATCTGCATCTGCGGGTGCGGAGCAGCCACTCCCTTGTGAAGTGCAGCTTTGGGAAGGATGCCATGTTTTTCACCTGCCCTGCACACCTGGCAGCGCCAAGCGTTTGCGACACGTTTATCCCGCATGCACAGAAGCAGCAGCGTGACACCTTTGCAAGAGTCAATAGGAAATGGAGCTGAACGGAAATGTTGAGTCAGTCTGGCTTATTGTTGGCTGGCTGGTGCAGCTAATTTCCTACGAGGCCATTCCTGCAGCTACTGCAGAGGGACTGGAAAACAAGATTGCCCGGCCAGCACCGTTTCCACTGCCTCCGTTCTCGGCTGGCCTTCTGGTAGGTCAACCATCCCAAACATTTTATCTGTTTTGTCACACTTGCAGTTTTGATAACAGAAAAACACCGCCACTGACAAAGGCTGATAACGTTATCGTTGTGCTGGGCCCACGCAGCCCATGCCAGAGACCAGTGTGGGAAATCTGGAGTCCCACGAATGGCAACAGAGGGCACAGCTGGCTGGACCCCTGAGGCACGCTACCCGGGAGCACTTTCTGCAGCAGCCGTGCCCAGGGCGTCAACAGCCACCCAGTGAGGGCCCTCTGGAGCCCGTGAGACTGCCTTGGGATGCTGGGCCAGACATAGCTAAGAAGCAAAGAAAGGGGGCCAGGATGACACGATCTGTGAATGTCACCCACCAGTGGCCCGCAAGGCTAGTGCATTCTGCACGTGCCGAAGGGAAGGACCTCGGGCAGCCAGAAGTGGGAGACCTCTGTGCTGGTGTGACTGGGGAGGTGCTTGGGGGGGCCTTGTCCCATTCTGCTGGCCAACAAAATAAGTGCTTGGACACTCGGCTATGGATAAATGAATAAAGCACTAACAAAAAGGAGGACTGAAATGCAAGTGTACATGCGAACCCTTCACTGTTCCCTGCCTCGCTTAGCAGCCAGCCTGGCTTCCCTGGCAGCCAGCCATGCAAGTGGAACTAGACTGCAAAATGGACACGCTTCTGCCCAAACCCAAAGGGTACCCGAGACCGAAGGGAAATAGAGACGCTCACCTGCAGAGGCGATGCTGTCCTGGGGAACCGGCCTCAGCAGCTGAAAGACACACCACAGAACTGGGGTTACCTCCTCCCTTGAGCCCAACCTTGGTTGGGTTATGAATTCTTCGCATTTAGAAAAATAGGCTGCAGGGCACCGAATTCACTGGGATCTCATCTTTCTTTTTTAGAACAGTCCTAAAGAAGCTGTTCCCATCAGCAATTGCACCGAGAACGCGCCTGGTGCTGCCTGAGAGACACAAACTAGTGCTGTACATTTGTTTTAACGAAACTGAGGGAGATCCATTAATTTCTTTCATTTCACTTACATGCAAATGGAAATTTGCATAGACGAGATGGCACATAATGTCCAGTCGTTGTCATTCGTGCCCAGCGCACGAGGAGGAGAGCAGCCCAGTGCCCCGGGGTGGGGGGGAGAGGCCGAGCGCATCGGAGCGGCACCCGGGGCCACAGCTCTCCTCTGCAGCAGCGTGGCTCCTACTCTCTTCCACTGGAGGAGCAGGCGGAGAATCCCCCCAGGATTCTTCTCCTGGACATGCAAGCCCGGCAGCTCAGGGACACCCCCAGGCTAGGACTGCTCCTCAGCAGCGGGTTCTGTCTGGGCAGGGAGCCTCCACCTGTGCAGCGCTCTGTCCCGTGAACTCCCACCTGCAGCCAGAAGGATATTCCAGGGGCACTTTTGAGCATGTGAAGAGTTGTCTTTTTCCATGGGGGAGTGAAGAGAATAAACTTGCCTCTGGGCACTGGCTGAACTCTGACCCATGCTTGGACCTCCTGTGAGAGGAAGCTCGCCTGGGGCAAAAGTGCCGCCCTCAGGCCAGGCTGGGTTTTCCAGGCTGCAGGTTAAGAGGTTCCCTACCTGGCTCCCCGGGCTGAACGGGGCCAAGATTATGTAGTTCTTGTCGCCTGTGTGACTGGAGGGTGGGCGGGGTGGTGGTGGCACATGGGGCCGCTGGGGGATCTTCCCCAGCTCTGTGTAGCGCTCCCAGCCGTTGGGTCCCTGCCCGCCGTCTCCATTGTACACAAGGTGGAAGCTCTGCCGATGCTCGCGGGGCCGGGAGCGTGCCGCAGGACTCTTCTCCCGCCGGCTGGACGCGGACTGCAAGTCGCAGGCTGACTTGCATGAGGAACGGCGGACGACGCCCTCGGGGCCAGCTTGGACCTGCGGGACGATGCGCCAGACCAGCAGGGTGATCTCGTGGAGGCAGTTCCTGAAAGAGAGGACCTCCCTGTCATGCACGCTCTCAGCACGATGACTGCAATGGCACAAAACGCACATCTGGTCAGCAAAGCAGAGGCAGCATCTGGTTGCCCTTCACAACGAAAACCGAAATTCTTCCCCTCCCTCCCCTCAGAGTCTTTCCGAAGACAGATCTGTTCACGTGAGAGCAAAATACACTCTCTACCCACAAAGACAGAGCACAAAAAACAGGGGCTGGATGTTGTCCTAAAGCATCCTCTTGTGTCTCCTAGTCATGAAAGTCAAGTGGAACCTCCACAATCAGCAGCAGTAGGCCTTCAAGGGTTAGATAACGGGGTCAAGAGACAAAGGAGACACAATAACTTCCTGCCCTGTCTTTGAGCTCCAGAGACAGCATGCATGCCTGCTCTCCTGCACTTGTGCGTGCACGCGCACACACACACACACAGAGGGAGGGAGGGAGCAAGAGGGAGAGCCATCCATCCTTCTTTGCAGCCTTCTCCCTGACATCCCAAGACTCAGCTCCCGCCGCCGGCCCTCGCCCACACGGGTGCCACTCACCGGATCTCATGGGCCAGCTCCACACACTTCCAGTGCTCCACGGGCTGCTCGTTGAGCTGGACGACCGTGTCCAGTTGCTGTAAGCCTGCCTTGTCGGCTGGACTGCCTGCCAGAGAGAAAGAGGGCTCAGCACACAAACTCCGACCCACAGCGAGGCAGGAGGGGCCTCCAGCTCACAGCACCCCAGTACAGCGCTGGGACACATCCACGCTTCACTGCGATTCCCCGCACTACTGCTTCGCCACAGCAGAAAGCCGATGGACTCGCACATGGCCGGGCCCTTAACCACTCTCACCGGTTCCCGGGAAGCGCGTGCTGGGGTGGCGGGGCAGCTGGGCCCCTGCTTGAGACAAGCCCCTTCTGGAGCCGCTGACTCCCTTGCAAACCAACCCGGCCAGTCTGCCGCCATCCGCTCCAGCCCTGCTTCTTACCAGAGTCCACTGCTTGAACTCGGACAGGGGAGTCACAACAGATGGTGAACCCAAATCCATTATTTCCACGTGGAATTGTAATCTGAAAGCAAACGGCAAACTTAGGCTTCCGTTGTTGTGTCGATGTATTTTCACACACGCTGACAAGATTGCCAAAGCCTCTTTCGGCGAGGTGAGGCAAGAGGCACACGCAAAGCTCCCACTCCTCCCGGTGCACGTCTCCCAAACCCCAGCTTTCCAGCTTTTGTGCAGGGACGTCGTTTCAAGAGGCCTTTGTATTCTCCCGGTATCTTAACACTTGGTTTTATCCCGTTTTTATCACTGTTTTAGATGCAGTGTGCTGTGTGTCGTTATGGTTTTGTTCTTGGTTTCCTGTTCCTTGTAAGCCGTCCAGAGACTTTTCTAGTAATGAAGGACACAGAAAAACTTTAAATACATAAAAAATAAAATAAATAACTGCTGAAGCCAAGGTATGTTGGTATTTTTGGTATTTTGGCCCCACCTTCCACTAAAATGTGGCCTCAGAGAACTTGTCCCCGTGGAATTCAGCTGGGTTCAAAGAGCCCCCCTCATCCCCGCACTTGGCTGCTCAGTTCCACCTGCTCCAGCAAACTTCCGGGCAAGTTGCGGAGCCAAGCGACTTGTCATCAAGGGGAAGCCCGGATGCTGCCTGTGCAGTCCTCCAGCCGGGAGGTGACCATCCGTGCTCCCCACCCAATGCCCTGGGCCTCATGGGTAAAAGAGGGACAACGGAACAGCGGGGGGGGGGGGCTGTGCTGCGGATGGGAAGGGGCACACCACTCTGCCTCCAGTCAGCTGTGGGATATTTCCATTCATGGGAGCTCGGACACTGCACAGCCTCCCTTGCACAGTCCTGGCGATTCCAGAGACGTCCGCTATGCTTCCTGGCTGACTAGCAAAAAGGAAAGATCTGCCCTTCTGATTTCAGGGTAAGTCAGCCAGAAGAAATATCCAGACCATGGGCTTCCGCGAATCTGTTCTCAGGAAGCAGACAAACGCTTCTTTCTGACGGGAGTACAGGGAGGCACTCTGGGGCAGCCTCTGCAGAGCCTTGGAGGCATGCTCGGGGCCCCTCCAGCAGTCCCAGAGGGAAGTGGCCGGAGCTGGATGCAGAAAAGGGTCCTGAAGCCCTCCTGAGAAAGACAGGCAGGTGCCTTTGGGCCTTTTCTGTCAAGAAAGAGACAACTCTGTGGGCAACGGGAGACCGTTCCAGAGCCATGCTGGCTGTGGAGAAAGTAGGCGGTCTCCCTTCCCCATAACCACAGATCTCCCCAGGATGGGTGCCAGGGAAACTGGCAAGGAAAGTGAATCTTCCCGTGGCGTTTGCGCTTGCTCGCCCAACATACGAAGCCACGGTGCCCGGCACTCTCGGCTGCAAGTGGCCACACTGGTGAGCAGGCCGATGCAGTGGGCACTCCCCGCAGCCCAGGCCCACTCTCCGCCTCGGTGAAGCCGTGTTCGCATGGTGCCCCCCCCCTGGACACCTGGCGGAGGCTGCACGGGCAGGAGGAGGCCCCCGCCCCGCCTGATCACTGCCAAGCACCCCAGAGCTAGCGTGGCTCCTCAGCTGCACCGCACGGCTGTCTGCACTGAGTCCTTGCGCCAGCCGAACCTCCACGCAAGCGCTATGTGGCGGGGTGGGGGGGAACTTCTCCCTGCGACCTCCCCGTTCAGAGGCAGTCCTCCTCTGGCTGGCAGTTGATGGGAAAGGGCTGCTGGACCCAGGGCCCGCTGGGCCTTCCTGGGTGCCTCTGGCTGGCTTCAGCAGGAGCAGGGCGCCACACGACAAAGACTCTCTGCCCGCTCTGGCCTCAGCACTCTTCTGAGGGCCTTCACGGTAGCTTTCCTTGGACCTTTCCTTAAGGGTGGGGTGGCCATATGCCAACCTTCCTGTCTCGCTGCATTAGGAAGGTCGGAAACAGTGCATGCAGCTTTTAATAGACACCTACATGTCACCACACACAGATTATAAAGATGATTGTGTCACTTTCCAAACAGATGAAGCAGCTGAAATTAGGCACTGACACCTGACCCACTAGAAAAGATCTTGTCAGCAAGGCATCGACACACCCGAAGCCACAGCAGCCATCCTGACGGCACTTCCACTGAGAATGAGGCCGGCCCACCCACGTCTTCACGCAACTGAGTTATCTGGGCAAGTTCTGTGGCGCTTGAAAGCTCATATCCCCCTTGCGCACACAGCAATGGGGATTAAGTCCCTCTGGGCTCAGGGGGCTTTTCTTCTGTTCTGTTTCTTCTGAGGTGTGTCCCCTCCACTCCTCAATGCACCTCATCTTCCAGGCTCCCTACAGCTCAGTCTTTGCCCTTTCGAGCTGGTTCTACACGGCCCGAGCATTTCAGTCACCCTGATGTCCGAGCACGCGCTAAGAAGAGACGAGGATCCTCAGTGTCACCCAGCCGCTCTCCCACCAGCTATTCCAGGCACTGGAAAGGGACAGATTCTCCCAGGACGCAGAGCAGCTCAGCCCCTGCCGAGGCTGTACCGATGCACAGGCATCCTTCTCCTGCAGGCCCCTCACACCACTTGGACGGCTGTGTGACAAAACCACTTTGCCCCCAGAGCTCACTTTAAAAAGGCAACAGAGTTGGCACGCTAATGGAGGCCAGATCCAGGTCCGGCTGCGACAGAAGCTAGACGTGACCCTCACTGCTGGGCGGTCGCAGCCGTGCGGCAAGTGCTCACAAGGGGCAGGAGTGGGGCAGTATGCAGCCTGCTGGCCTGACTGGGCAGGTGGGGCGCCAGAGCCACTGGGGCAATGGCACAGCACCAACCCCAAGTGCAAGAGCGTGTGCTGGGCACAGCTGCATTGACACAACTGAAGCAAAGTACCACCGGCCTCACAGCTTAGGTGGAAAACTCGTCTCGCCTACAGATTCACCAGGGCTGCAAGATGCTGCACATTTCCGAGGTCAAAAGTCCAGTGGAAAATGGAGACTTAATTTGGAGTAAGTAGGCACAGGACTAGACTTCAGGCAGCCTCAGGCAAGCAGCACTCTCTCGACCTCAAACCCTCACTTGTTGAGAGCCATCGGGAGTCCCAATCTTTGGGAACAGGTGGGATACTGACAACAGCAATGACTGGGGGATAACCCCACCCTACAATAGAGGGCTGTGGCAAGGAGCATAAAACCACACATATCCATGAATCATCAGGAAAGCATACGCTTTGAGCACTCAAAGATGTACTGTCTCCTGATCTCAAGGGCCAGGACCTTGAACCCTCACAAACGCCAGGTGGTCCCTTGCAGTTTGGCCGCGCGATTATTTAGCCACAGCTCGGAGACCAAGCGGCCCAGCCATTTGCACGCACACCACTAGCTGCCCCCCCCCAGTGTCTTTTCTCCTGCAGCCCACCTGAGCCAGGTGGGGGCTCCCCGACCTCCCATCTGGCCAGTGCCAGCTCCCCCCAACCGCCCCCCCGGCTCCGCCGCACACAACCGACCTGCTGGTAGCTCTGCTCTGCACACATTCGACACAGTCCGTGGAAGCGACTCATGGCCACAGCCTCGCGGCTTGTGGCTGGCCCATGGAAAGCCAGATCCTTCCCCACCCTCCCTGGTGAGTGTGAGCCGGAGAGAGACCCCCTGCCTCCAGGCAGCCAGGCAGCCGAGAATAAGCCCCAGCAATCCTGGCATGGCGGCCCCTGGGAACCCAAGAGCCCGGCAGAAGAAGAATGGCAGGAAGCCACCCCTCACCTCCCGGGCTGCCTCTGCCATGTGCTGCTTTATGATAAGCGGGAGGCTTCCTGAGAACGCGGTGGGAGGAGGAGGAGGAGGAGGAGGGAGAGTCTAGAGGCAGATTTCTGCCAGCTCTTTGGCCCAGGCTGCCTCTGCTCCCACCCCTCCAAGTTCACCAGGCACATGAATGCCGCCAAGTCCCCACCAGCCCCGGGAGATGTTCGTGGGGAACTTTCACTGGTCCTGCCCACCTCTTGGTAAAAAGGGTGCCTTGCCATCACATTCACATTTGGAGGGTTGGGAAGAAGCAGCAGGGCACCAAGTAACCAAGGAAGGACTGTGGTCCCACAACCGCACCCTCCCCCCACAACCCATGCACTCTTGGCCTCCGTCGGGGACACCCACCGAGCACGCTGGCTCCTCGGCTTTCCTGGGGACCGCCACTGCTGTGCCCCTCAGGTAGGTCTGAGCGTTGCCCCTCGGAGGCAGTGGCCACAGCAGCTGTCCACAGCTGTCCTGCTCATGTTGGCCGGATTTGTACTGTCTCCCTTTCCTGATTAATCCTTACAACAGCCCTGTGAGGTAGGTTAGGATGAGAAAGACTGGTCTGCTGGGTCAGCTAATTGGATCCGAGGCCGAGTGAGCATTTGAGCTCCGGAGCAGCACAATTCCTTGGCGTTACAGAGGGCTGCTAAAAATGGCAAAGGGCAGCATGGAACGAGGTGCAGGCTGCATGTGCACGAAAGCTTTCCTCACAGTGCAGGTGTGAAGATAACTAACAACAAAGATACATACACACAGCTTTCAACTTCATGGAGAAAAGGCAAGATACTAACACTAATAAACATAAAACGGAACAATTTGCACTGTGTGAAGGGGAGGAGTAACCCCCCCCCCCCGGAGAACCTACTTCAGTGCATGAGAACGTGCCCTCCAGCCACTCCTGGCAGCAGCCAAACTGACTCTTGATCACAGCCTGGCACAGCCGGGCTGGGGAGAACGCTCTGGAGGCTCTCCTGCCCTCTGGCGGCAGGAAGGTCTTACACACACTACCACAGGCACACTGTGGTCGGCCCTGTACCTGCTGCGGCGCAAAGCTAAAACAGGTTTATTTCAGATGGCATAGCAGAATGCAGCATCACTGCATACAAATTCACAAATCAATATATCAAATGTGTGTAAAATGCAAAACAGTACAATAAATTAACTTCAAAACATGCAATACGAATAATGGATAAGTTTGCCAGGTAAGGGGAACGTGGCCCAAACAGCCAACCGCTGTGCCATGTGCCATCTTCCTTCCACCTGTGGCTTCGATGGCTACCACGCCAGCTTGCCCCGTCTCCAGATGGTGCTTCTAAATGCAACACTGGTGCAGAATAAAACTTCCCTCATCCATGATTGAATTCCGGATGAGGTGGCCAATCGGGCATGTATAACCAAGAGCTGGGTGGGTGAACGGGGAGGAGTTAATCTCTCTCAGGAGGGCTTGCTTGGTTCAGCGCTAGGGTAGACCTGAGGGTCGGGGCAGGGGGCCCTGCTGAGATGTATCAGACTTCTCTCTCTCCCTGGGCAGGCCCCCTGTTCATCCAACAACTGGTTTAAAGTGATTGCACTTGTGCTGGACCAGCTGAACAGACTGGGGATAGTGCTGGGGTGCCACCCACCCTGCAACCCCACCTGAGCTGATGGGGGTGGTCTCAGATGTCCCCAGGCTGCTGCTTCTAGGGTATTTTGACATTCATTCTGAAGGCAACCTACCCAGTGGCTCGGGGCTTCCTGGCCACCATGGGACTGTCCCGATCAGTCCCTGGCCCAGTGCATGCAGCAGGGCATACTCTACACCTGGTCTTCCCTGCTAGAGAGCAGAACGGTGTCCTGAATGCAGGGGAGCTCAGCTGGGTTCCTGTCTCATGGTCAGGTCATCACCTGTTGAGATTGAGGCTGATGGCGGCTTTCCCCTCCACAAGGGTAGGGAACTGAAGATGCTGCCCCCATCACCTGCCTGAATCATTTCCCTTGTTCACCTACACACAGCACACGCCTTTCGCCAGGATCTCCAAGCAAGCATGTAATTTGTAGCCATAAAAAGGTGTGTTTTGTCCAGGCTGATTGTAAAAATTATTCAGAGGTTCTTCTCCTTCAGCACAGGAACAATCACAAGAACAGATGTGTGCGGTTGGTGTGGGCTAGGCTTATTGTCAAATGTTACTTATCAAAATCTACCTATTCTACTGAATGAAGTCAAGAACCAGAAGTCAAACAATCAAGACTGAAGAACCAACCTGAGTATCACCGGCAAGAAACAATCCTATCTTGATTCCAGGAGACCAGAGGAGCGGGGTGGGGATAGAATAAAAGCAACTTTATGGGAGGAATATGCCCAGTGGGGTTTATTTTTTTGGTTAGAGAATTCCTAGGAAGCAGTGAGCAATTCACCTTTTCTAGCAAGCCCAGTGGCTTTACTTTGCGAACAAGAACATATTTTGGGGAGAGACCTTGATAGTATGCAGAAGACAAGACTGAAATGTTTTCTTCCCTCGAGCACCGTCTTGGGATTATGATCACACACGGTCTCAAGTTTTGAGTGAGCAGTGAGGTGGCCACACTTGCTGGCAGCACCTAAACATTTGGGATGGTAGAAAGCTGAAATCTCAAAGCGCCTCTCTCCAGGGGGCATGTATTATTTTGAGAACGGAAATGCTCTGCTTGGCTTCTGCACTCCCTATACTTTTACAAATAAATAATTCTCAAAAATTCAGAGGTCTCCAGTCTCCTTGCCTCCAAAATAAAATCTCCCTGTAAAGCTACTCCTTGAGGAAGAAACCCAGCAACACGGCTTCCTTTACACCATGTTCCTTACTTGGTCTTACACAAGGAATGTCCCAGCCAGGCAAACGTGGACTGAGCAAGGCTTGCAAACAGCCACTACTCTGGTTGTCTGCAGGAAATATCTCAAGCTCAGGTCATTTCTTTCGGCCATCAACATGCCACAAATGAGTAAAACAAGTATAAGGGTGCAGTCAGAACTACCAACATTTCCTATGGGCTAGCAACATTTGTGGATTTCTTAGCACAACTACAGTAAGTAGCAGGAAAAGACTAAAGGAGTGCACCTTTTTCCCCAAAAGCAAATTGTGGTCCAGAAAAAGTTGCTTGTTGGCATGACAGTTGCCTTCCACTCTCAGACCGTGAGCTTGCTCTACTCTCCAGTGTGATTCAGAGCAGGTATGTGCCCACTTACCACTCACCCAGGCACCCGATGAAGCAGCAGGCCCAGTCTCCTTACCTTTGCACTGGCAAAAGAAATGGTGCTGACAGAAGTGTCCTTTGGAGAAAAGCAGCAAACTGAAAAAGTGGAATTTTAATCACTGTAAGCTCAGCCTCTCCCATACAAAAAGACGTGGCCATCCCCAGAGTGGGCAGCTGCCTACAGACACATATCCCTGCCAGCTTCAAGTCAGTTCTAAGGACGGATTATCACTGTTCTCAGGGATGAGGGGGGAGGGGGGAGGGGGAGGAGGGTTCAGAAACCCCAGTGGTGGCAGGAAGGTCTCCTCAGGGTGGCTTTGGGTCGCTTCCTCAGGCCAGAGCTCCCTGCCGGCTGCAGACAGAGCCCTAGTCTGAGCCAGGGTGGCCTCCCGTTGGCTTGCAAGTTGCTTGCAGTACTGGTTGTACCTGGATTCTGATTGCTGCATCCGGGGAACAACGTTCTCGTACCCTAAACAAAGCAAACCAAGATGTAAGAACAGAGGCGCAATCAGCATGGAACACACACTCGAAAAGGAAAGACCAGCGAGTCAGTATATGAGCATTTCATGGCTAAGCTCTGAGATTCACCAACATGGGAACAGGAAAGATAGATGGCAGTGAAGGGGTGCGGGGGGGGGCATTTTCCAGGCTCCCATGTCTGCAGGTAAATTTCCCACTGAGGAAGCCACTTGCAGCTAATTAAACAAGGTAATTCTTTTTGTGGCAAATCCTATTTGAGGTTGTTCTAGGACTTCCTTCCCCAAATGGGTGCCTTCTTGAACTGCTGCTGACTAATGACTACAGTGACGGGGAATGGCCAGGGCAGGGCAGTGCCCCAACACCGCTGCAGAACGCACGTTTGGGAATGGCTCTCTTAACTTATGAACACAGCAGGAGGGAAGTGCTTCACAGCAGAACTAGAAAAAGATCTGGCAGCTGCAAGGGAGCGATGGATAAAGTTCCCACTCCATGGGAGAATCTCCATGCCTCCCTGGGAAAAGGCACTCAGGGCCTCGCTCTTCCCTACTATGACTCTCAAAGCTGCTTGAAACACAGTAGCAGGAAGATTTATACTATATAAAATCAAGAGATTGCACTCCTTCACCTGGAAGCTCCCCATCACACTCACCTGCCATTTGCTCAGTGGCTGCGTTGCTCCTGCACTCCACAAACCTCACAGAAGACCTCCTCCTGGCACCAGGCATGATGGGCAACAAGGGCCGAGGGTCAGCGGTCGCAGACTAGAGAGAATAAGTGGCAAAGATGGCTACCTTGGTGCAGTCAGTGGACTAATTGCCACAACGGGACAAAAACATTTTAACCAGGCCCTGAAAATGTATGCTAAATCACCTTTCATTCCTACTTGAAACATAGATATATTTCTAGGCATATGGTTTGGTTTTATTATCCAAGGTTTTGTGATCCTCAAGGGATCACTGTGATGTACTCGGACACACTTTCCCAAAAGCATATTTGGGAGCATCCTTAAGTCACAGAGCCCGAAGGAACATTTAGACTAAAGAAATGGGGACATGACAAACATAAAAAGGATAATTTTCCTCCCTGAGAAATCAGGGACTGGAAGTCCTCAAAGCAGGGGTGCCCAGGAATCAAATTCCCACAGAATTCTCAGCACCAGCACCAAGCAATGACGGCAGCTACACTGGTATAATACTGATATTCATTTTATATGATTGTATTTCATGTTCTTTGAAAAGTATAGAAAGGGGGCCGCCTGCTGCTGCTGGTGCCACCCCTCAGAATAGGCATTGTTGCCCAGCTCCAGCACTGCACTGGACCGTATAGTCTAAAGCCAGAATTAGGAGAGTGATGTAAGCCACCTTGAGTTCTTTCAAAACAGAAAAAGCGGGAAAGAAACCAAATGGAAACATAAATAAAGGCTTGGAGCAAAAGTGGTTCAGCCTGTGCAGTAACAGAATCAATGCAAGTTACCTCTGCCAGTGTTTTCAGAGGAACGGCTGCTAGTACCCAGCTGACAGCTCTGTCTTTGACAGGGAAGGAAACGAGCAGCTTCTCTCTGAGAAGCTAACTGGAGATGGGTAGAAGACCTTCCGAGGTGACTCTCAAGGCTGAAGAGTCAACTCAGAAGGTCAGGAAAGGAGATGCCCTGCTTGGGGAGGGGAGGGGCCGTGCTGCTGGGCTAAAACCGCTGATCAGTTAGCTGTTCTTGAGGAAGGCTTGCCATCGCTCTGCATTTTCCAGTTTGGAATACTGGTATTGCACTCTTTTACTCCTGAAAGCGGCCTTCCATGAGCTCTGCCAGCAGTTAAGCAAATAAATATTTCAGTAAGAGTCTATGGTTCTCGGTCACCCAGCCAAAGGCCCCGTCCTGCTTCCATCGCACTTACAACTTCCTGGAGCTGCTGGGACTTTTCTGGCAGCACTTCTCTTAATTTACGGCACTGCTCACCAGCGGCATCCAGCCGCAGGGCCAGGTCTGGAGTGGCATGTTGGAAGAACCCCGAGCCTAGAGCCAAGTTGAAACAGGCAGGTCAGCCTTTTCCAGAACATCTTCCAGATCCTTCTCCAGCTACAGCAGGCAGTATTTATACTGAGAATTACAATGCCCATACCTTGTAAGGCAAACGTCACTTTGCTGGGACTTCTTGAAGCTCTTTCTTTCGTGGGAATCTAAAGAAAAAAGCGGGTGTAGGGGACAGCAGGAGGAGGAAATGCAGTTTAGAGCTGGTTGTTTCAATGAATGTGTTTCCTGCAAAGCAATTACAGCAAATCAAGACAACCACGAGAAATGTAACATACTTCCAAGACATCGCACTGTAATGCTTCAAGTCCACTCACATGGGGGACTGAGCAGACTGTGAACTGGCTTTTTATGGCTTGCAAATCAAACCCTCTAATTTGGATGATGGCTTGAACTCTTATGGGAAAAGGTAGGGCATGAAAGTTAGCCCTATCCACACGGTCATCTCAACACAGACGGATTTTCTTGCTCTGACACAGATTTCAGGAGACTCTTCCAATCCTGGGCACACTTGCCAAAACCTCACTTCATGTAGTGAGGGACTTCTGAGCAAACATGGCTACTACTGCTCTATAAATGTCTATTCCAATAATTAAATAAGTGCGATTGACTTCTTAATAGGTCATGCACGCATCATAAGAATATGTGGGCTGCTCAAAGAAACAAGCCATACGACCAGAAATACCAGCCACAGTCACCCTCCAGGCTGGAGTAATGGGAATAGGGCATCGCAAGATACCACATATTAAGGTAATCTCTGGAGTGCATGCAGATTCTGCTCATGGATTTTCTCATTCTATAGAACTCTGGAACATCAAGAAATTTTTAAAACATCACTGAGTTTATAGCGGCTCCCCCTCTTCCATGAGAGCGTTGCAAGTCAAGAATGCACATGGCACAAGCCCTGTCCTCCTCAGAGCAGCGTCAGCCTGGAAGCACTGCAAGACAGAGAGCTTCCATGCTGCAGACAGCTGGTTCTCACACTAGGAAGGGGGAGGGCTGGGCTTCCACTCTGGGTGATCTAGCACACAGGGGAAGTGATGTGCTGCTCACACAGCTTCCTCTGAAAGTGGGCCTAGCGCAAGACTCCGGCATCCAGTCAGAGAATCTAGCAAAGTCCCACAGAAGCAGTCCAAGAGGGAAAGGTTCATAAGCTCTACCAGGCTTGAGAAAAGAATGTGCAGGAAACCAAAAGGTAAGCCAGTAGTGCTTGCCTCCTGCCACATTCATTATATCTGTGATTTTTTAAAAGCCACTGCAATACTGAATCCTAACCCTAACCCTTTCAAGAAAAGTCAAACCCTTAATTGCTCCGACCCCGCAAAAATGCCAGGCACACGCTCCTCCCAGGTTCTTGTTACCTTTGTCCTGATTTGGTATAAATTGGGTGCCTTCTGCACAGTAAATGGGGGTGCCAGTTTCTCCTTGTTTTCTGACAACATTCCTCTTCCGTTCTCTAGGTTAATGGTGCTTCCATTTTGTGGTGACACGACTGGAACCAGGTGCAGACGGCATGGGGCGAACTGCCCCTTCTGGACAGGGCTTGTCTCTGGATTCCTTTCTTTGCCTACCAGACTATTCAGAGTAAAGACATTGTTCCATGCAAAAAATGGCCAGTGCCTGAAGACAGAACTCCCCCCACCACCAAGAATGCAATTGTATATCTTCATTTTCAGGAGAGTTAAGTAGAATGGCCCAGAGCCCTGGAGAAGAGGGAAGGCACATCCTAGGCCAAAGCCTCCGATCCTTGTTTTTGCTTTTATTGATGGGGGAATGGGGTCACAAAAGACAGAGTGGGTCAGGAAGCAAGTCTGATTCTTTGACTTAGGAAAATTACTTAGGACTGACCTTGATGTGCTGGCAGAAACCTTTTGGCTCCTCCTCAGATGAAAGAGGTAGGGCTGGCCTCCCGTAGGAACTTTATTTGACTTCTTTCTCTTCTATGGAATGAGATCAACGCAGTGAAAACTCAGCCTCATCTAACGCCCCGCTCATCCTCCCTGCCCCAACCTGATCCCCCACTTCCCAAAAGCAGATCTATTCACTGCGATGCAGAGATGACCATTGGCCCAGATATTTTCCCCTGCTTTACAAGGAGCTGTGACCCTCTGCTTTCACTAGCAGCCTGAAGAAACTCAGCAAGCAACACTTTTCAACATAATAGGAAGATGTTCATACATTTGTTTTTTTGTTTCAGGTTGGTGTTAAAATACAGGATTAGAACTAATAAGACAAAAAAAGCAGCACTGCTCTTGGCTGGTGGCTGCTCCTTTACTAGCAGGTGGTAGCAAAATCTGATCGGGGGAAAAAATCACAACTCACCACTTCTTTCTTCTCCTTAAAAGAGAGGAGGCTTTCCAAAGCAAGGTCTTTCACACACGTTCTGTGTGCAGGTGGCACCCTAAACAACACAAGGGAAATAAGCATGCGGCATCGCCAGGAGGAAGGGCCCTCACATTCTGCCCTCTGGTGACTGCACAAGGGAGCGAGTGCGACCTCGCCCTCATTAGCCAAAGGGGAAATAAGTCTTTTTTTGAGTAGACCCCACAATGAGGAGAAGCTGTTAAGGAGTGTTAAGTGTTGCTTACTCTCCTGGCTTCTCAGGCCGCGGAAGTCTGTGCCGCTTGTCAGGGACCCACCTGACAATCACGTTTCCATAGGCTGGCTGGCAACCCAGTTTGTGTACCGCAAACTCACCAAGATCTGTTACTTGAATCTATCATGCACATGAAGGAAAATGAGAAGCGCAATAAAATAAATCTTTAGCCAAAGAGCATGTCAAGGTACAAAGAACTTGCACAGATTTTCCTGGTACACCAAGTTAAATATTTGGTTCCTGAAGACATGTTAGAAATATGGCAGAATCATCTGTTGAAGGCTGAAAGAGGCACCATTAACAATCCTGAGATAATCGTGAGCTAGACATGCAGATACCACATCCTGCCCCACTCCCACACAATCCACTAAACACACTCACTTTCTCAGTTTGCCTCAAGCAGTTGAAACTGATTGGGCTGAAGTGGGGGGTCTGAGATTCCATCCTGGAGTTCAATCCTGGAAAGGGATTCCTCTCGGAACTGGAACATGTGCACACACACAGAAAGCCCACATTGGTAGAGGCCATCAGTAAGCCAAGCAGCTACAGTTTAGCAACTACTTGCCAATGTAGAGCTTATATTTTCTAGAGCAGAAGCAACACACATTAATTACCATGGTGGGAAACCCCTCAAGGGGTTCAACAACACAAGCCTGACTTAAATGTCCCCCGCTTTTGTACAACTCCAGCTAGTCTGAGGTGGATCTGTGCAGCCTTCGTAGCAGATTATAACTCCTGCTGCTAGGTGTGCATGTGAGTGTGGGGCTGCCAGTTGAATTTTCTGCCTCAAACTCCAAAATGCATTTTCAGGGCTCTGCAAACTGCATCTAATTTATTGGGAAAAGCATAATGCAACAGCACAGGAGTTATTAAATAATAAACACCAAAAGGCTGCACTTCCAGAAGTACTTTTGTATGAGATCTAAATTGCCTTACCTCATTACAAAGAAGGGATGTAGCACAGTATCATTCAGGGTGGAATTTGAAAAATAACTTTTCACATCTTTGATGCTGGAGATGGTCTTGGAGATGGAACCAAAACTTGCAGCAGATCTGATCCTCCCTCTCTCAGAATAATTGAGGGGAAGGTTGAAAACCTTCAGTGTTGGCAGGCCATCTGAAATGTGGAGAAACTACAGTAAAACACAAAGAACAGTCCTCTGGCCACAGAAAGAACAAACACCATTGCTCACACCTGTTCGAAGTACCCCTACCGCAGCACTGGGCACTGTTCCTTGACCCTATCATAAAACGACCCTTGTTACTTTTACTTCTTTCCATTCAAAGATATCAATGCATGCAAATTAAACAAAGAAGTGGTTGGAGAACAATCTCTCTCTGTGAAATGGCAGAGGAAAGCCACAATGGCGATCATGCCAATTACCAACACTTTTTGAAACACAGGAGTACCAGCCTGCAGTGTCTTCCATTTTGTCTGCCTGGTTAGGCTTCCTGGCAGAGAAATAACGAGCAGGTTTTAGGCTTAGTGCCAACAACATGGCCTGCATTTTAGCACCCAAGTAGTTTACACTTATGGGGCCTGTAAGAAACCTCCAGACCTCCTTGTAAACCTGGCTTATCAACAGGCTGCTTAGCTACAGCTATGCTTGCTAGAGCGAGAATGTGCTAGAACTAGCCTATGATGAGAAAGTCATGAACTTTAGCCTGTACATCCTTAGGACTGACATTATAGATGCAATGCTGATGTAACCAATCCCCTTGCATTAGTAGTAAAAAGGTATCTCAGCTGGATTCAGCCCCACTCCCTTTGATCAAACCACCAGGCATTGCTGATTGTCCAGCTGATAGGAGCCTTGCTGGTTGATCTACTGACTGCAAACATGGTAAGCTTTGTAAGTTCTTCAATTTGCTCAATAAATCTCCATGTGAGCAAACCTAAACCTGGCATATTGCTTTCCTTGGGATTCCAAAAAACCTTGAGCCCCCTGTAGGAGACAAATAACAGGTTGGTTTGTGGTTGCGGCTTCTGCCCGAACACAAAAGCCAGTAACAAAAAACATGACTATTAGGACTAAAGAGACCCAAGCTCAAATCCCTACTCAGCCATGAAGCCCACTGTGGGAGCCTGGCCAGTCACTCCCAGTCAAGCCTGCATCACAGGGTTACTGCGAGGGTAAGTGGCAGAAGCCAGAAATGCTGCTCCGTGCTCCTAGGAGGAAGATGGGGATAAAGTTTCACTCTCTGGCCACCTAGGTGCAACAATTACACATCATAGAAGCCTCAGCAAGTATAATTATAGGGCCTCTCAGCTCTTCAGCTGACTAATATTTGAAAACTGAAAAGCATCCACATGGCAGATATATCAGCAACAAGCATGGCACTGCGGAGTGCTCCTTGCCATATTACTCCTGCATTTGCATGGCCTATTGCCCTACTCCCACTGGACACATTTGTGATTGCTGTAGGGTTTGGACCTAAGGGCTCAGCAACCAGTCATGCCTGGAAGATAAGTGCAACATGCAAGCTCATGGTTGTTTTTCAACAGAATGCCTACTTACTTTCAGATTCTGGGAGTTCTCTCCCAGATGAGTCAAGGGCTCCTAACAGGATCCTGGGATGCCCACTCTCGATCCTCCGCATTGCCTCCCAGCACGGTGGGTGTTGGCAAGCAATCATATTGCAAACTGTCTCATCCCACTGACTGGCATCAACAGTCGCCATACTAGCAGCAACTTTCTGGGTCAAGAGAGGTTCATACATTACCACCTACACAAGGAACAAGACACTGGTGTAGAACTGTACTAGTACCTTATTCTTTCTGGATACTACTGCTGGTGTGGGTATCAATTTAAAAAGCCACGAGGATATGCTAGTTAAATGCCTAACCCTTCAGGTTGCAAGCCGAAGCTCATACGGTGAAATAGTCTTCCATCTGAAAAATTCCATGGCATGACAGAAATACACAAGCACACACAAGATTTTTTTTCAATTTTGGTATGGAGGTGCTATCCTGAATAGAGCTTTAACATATCTCCCCCACCAACAAAATGTCTGTGCTGAATTGCTACCTTCTCAACAGTCTGCAGTTCAATGTATTTTATTGCTGGTGTGTCTTGGGGTGCAATCCTATGCATGTTTAGAGAGAAACAAGTCCTACAGCTCCCACTGTTCCCCCTCCCACAAGCTAAATATGAGCCACCAATGTGATGTGGCTACGAAAAGGGCAAATGCTATTTTGAGTTGCATTAACAAAAGTATTACTCTCAAAGCATGTGAAGTACTAGTTCCCCTATACTCAGCATTAGTGAGACCTCACCTAAGTCTGGGCACCTAAATTTAAGAGAGACGCAGAAAGCTACAAAGGGTACAGAGGAGAGCAGCAAGGATGATCCAGGGACTGAAGGCAAAGCCCCATGAGGAAAGATCGAGAGAATTAGGCATGTTTGGCTTCAAGAAGACTGAGGGGAGATGTGACAGCACTCTGCAAGTACTTCAGAGGTTGTCACAAGGAGGCCAGGATCTCTTCTCATCCATTCCAGAGTACAGGACACATATTAATTAAAAAAAGCCAGATTTAGGAGAGGCACCAGAACGAATTTCCTCACTGTCAGAGCAGTAGGACAGTGGAACCTATTTCCTGGGGAAGCTGTGGGCTCCCTTGCTCAAGTGGCTGCGCAGTCATCTGAGCAGGATGTTGTAACTGAGTGCCCTGCACTGAGCAGGGGGTTGGACCCCCGATTCTCTGATTTTCCAGCCTTATCTGGCCACTCCAGGACGGGAAGAAATGGCATTTTTGATATAGAAAAAAGGCCAAGTACACAAAGGGGTGAAAACGCAATAAACATAACAGCGCTGATTTTCAGCACAAGAGACACGGGGGGAGCTTGCTAGCAACGACAGCGGCTCCCCCGCCCGCGCCAGCGTTTTCAAACGGAAGGGGCGAGACCAGGGGGAGGCCGGACACGCTCCCCGCCCCTTCAGGGGCGCTCCCTCCCAGTCACCTCCAGCAGCCCCCTCGTCGTCCTCCTCACATTTTAACACCGGGGGGGGTGTCTGCGAGAGGGAGCGGCGGGGCCGGGGGGAGAGACGCCCCCTTCCCTCCTCCAGCAGCCGCCGCGTCACCCCGCATGCACCGCCCGGGAAGGAGAGCCGCCGCGCTGTGACGCACCGCCGTTCGCGGGCAGCACCGAGCCCGCGCGAGAGCCTTGCGCTAGCGGCGCCCTCGGCTTCCGGGGCCCATCTGCCGCAGCGCCACGTGCGGGGCCGGGCCGGGCCCGAGGCTCCGCCTCCCTCTCATCGCGGGTCTGTGACGGCGCTCGCCCAGAGCGGCAGCGCCGCCGGAAGTGGCCCGCCACCGCTCCGCGTTGCCAGGGTGAAGGGCCCGCGCGGGGAATGCCGGGTCGCGGCCGGAAGGGGTGGGGCGCTTTGCGCGGCGCGCGGCGGGGCCTCTGGCGCTCTTCCTTCCTCTCGCGGGGGCGCATGTCTGGGAGGCGGCTCAGGACTTTCTCGTCTGGGAGCGCGTTTTGGTGGTAGGGAGAAGATGGTGGTGCTTTCCCCGCGTCGCTGGCGCGCGCGCGAAGGCTCGGGCGCACTGGCTCGCCCACGGCGCCCTCTGTGCACGCGCAGAGGGGCGCTCTTTCTTTTCCGCAAAGCAGGGGGAGGAGGTCCTCCTTCCAGAGGCCGCAGAGGGCGAGCAGCCCCGCTTCTCCCTCCCGTTTCTCCTCCTCGCCGGCCCGGGCCTGCGTCCTGCTAGTCGTGCGCCTTCTTCCTTCCCCACCACCCCCAAACCGCCCGTCCCTTGGTGCCTGTGGCCTGGTCTCGTCCTAGGACCGGCTGCTCCGTGTGTTTCTGCACCTGGCTTGTGGCCTCTTCCTGGTGTCTATCCTATACCTGGTTTCTTTTAACATAAGGCTATTATTCTGTGTCCTGGCTTGTTCGCTTTGAAGCCTGAGTGCTGCCCCACTCCACAAGAGTCCCGATCAAGGCAGGGGCTGCTTCAGGGGAGATAGGCTTAACCCTTGTTTTAAACTTAGTATTGAAATTACTTTTTTCTTTTTGTTTTTCAAAGAATGGCATGAATTGTTGCTAGCCAACCAGAGAACTTTGGCTATCAGGTGGGATAGAAATGGAATTATACCCAAACAGCACAAGGAGCAGAGAGTGGCATAAATAGGACCTGTTCTCAGTATACTGGCACAAGACCCCATTGCTACCATTTGCCAGCAAGTGGCATTTAGTGCTGGGCTCATGGTTTTGCACTGAAGGAGAAGGCGGGGGTGTCTGCACACAGAATGGGGAGGAAAGTGACACCGGTAACAGAAAGCTCTGTTTTGTTTAGGTAGCGATCCTGATGTGTTTGTGTACCTCAGAGAAGCTGCTTTCAGCTTTTGCCTTTTGTCCAAGCTGTTTGAAATTTGGTGTGGGGGGTTGGGGCAGTTAGGTAAGTGCCTATAACTTGCGTGCGGTTTGAATGGAAAATGCAAAGAGCGGAAGAGTGGCTAGCTAGGTCCCATGCTCAACTTGATGGAACACTAATGAACAAACGTATTTAAAACAAATGTAAAATGACACAATAGTTTAAAATATGAAGAGTCAATGCAAATGTTTCCCTTTGACAGCCTTAGGAAGGAGAAGACTTTGGAGTATGGCAAAGGTTTGGGGTGGGGGGGACGTGAAGAGTAATGCTCAGTCCATTTACTGCAACCAACCAAAAGAATGTGGTGCAGCACTCACGCTGGGTGGCTTCCATTTTAACCATAGGCTTGAAAGGATAGCTACCAGGGTGTGCAGAAAGTCCCCCAAAAGCAGAGGGTGGCAGTTGATCCCTCTGTGTCCTTCATGTCTTGAAGACGGCTTCTCAGAATGGTTGTTTATTGCTCCAGGTATGTGCAATGGCTGAACGTCCAGAAGACCTGAATCTACCCAATGCTGTCATAACCCGCATCATCAAGGAAGCAGTGAGTAAGGGAAAACAGTGAAGGGGTGCTTGGGAGTCTTTCCCGTCAGTGAAACCTGGGACACTAGTGCAGTGATTGTAGGCTGGGTCAGCAGACTGTTAACAGTCGATCTCTTTGGGAGACAGGCTAAGGACCAAGTTCTCTGTACCTTACCAAGCTAACTCAGATATCTTCCACCAGCTGCCTGATGGAGTGAACATTTCCAAAGAAGCCCGGAGTGCAATATCTCGAGCTGCCAGTGTGTTTGTACTGTATGCAACATCATGGTAAGTGTTGCTGCTGACGAGAACCAGAACAGCAGTGGAGCATTTTCAGTATTGATAGGAAATAATTTTCACTTGCCTTATCTTTTGAATTAGTGCCAATAACTTTGCAATGAAGGGAAAGAGGAAAACACTGAATGCTGGTGATGTTCTCTCAGCCATGGAGGAAATGGAATTCCAGCGGTTCACAGGCCCTTTAAAGGAATCATTAGAAGGTAATGTGCTAGTGGCCTGTGTGTTGCCTTGGCAAAGGGCCCATGCTATAGCTCTAGCCTGTTTAGTCCTGGCTCTTTTATATTTCAGTACCAGGCCAGCTCCAGGTAGTAGAGGATCAGTGAGCCCCCTCTGGCACTGCCTCTGGGTGTTAGGCTGTGTCCTCTTGGTGCTGCCCCTTCCTTTCCGGAGCTAAAAGTACATGACAATTCCCTGTGGGCTAAGAACAATACAGACTTCAGAATTTCACCGGTTGTCTCTTTTTATCTTTTTGTAAAGTGTAACTTGGACATAAGCAGAAAATATGATTCAAGAACCAGAATAAATCAATCTTCATCCTCCCCACCTCTCAGAATGTGGGCTTACTCTTATGTTTTGCAACAAAGGAACAAGGTGGATTGTAGAACCTTAAAGATTTCATTCCACTCCCTGCCTGCCCACGGGGCTTCAGCATTTCTGGAATTTTTACATCTCTAGCTACATGCAACTGAAACATTTGCTGCCTTTTTGGGTGGGGGTACAATAAAACGTCTGTAATAAGTATAGAAACAAATTAATTAAAGCTCTAAGGGTAGAGTCGGAGGATTGTTTTCTATCTTTGGCAATTTTCCATTTCCTCTGGTGAGACCAATGTATGTGAAATACATAGATTGTTTGACAGTGCAATGCTTACCTTGGAGCAGAGGCAGCTTGCAGGCAAAACCAACACAAAATTCTAACACTTGTATGTGCATTCCATTTATATTAATCCAGGTGCTCTCAATGGGGTTACTAAGCTCATCCTCCTGTATTTCTGTGCAGAGATCGGTATCGTCAAGATACAGTGTGATTCTGCCTTGCTTTCTGTTCCTTTCGTTCTTGAACAAGTTATATCCTTCACTTGTTGAATTTCAATCATGGGCTTTATCGCACCATGTTTCAGTTATGCTTGTTAGATTGTATTCTCTCTTGGGCTACAGGCAGGATTCAGTGATGGCCCCAAGGATGCTGAGCCCAGTTTGGATAAAGGAGTTACAACAAAGTTTATAATAGTCTAACTTTAATGTATGCATGTTTCTCTAGCGTACAGGCGTGAGCAGAAAGGAAAGCGGGGAGCTTCGGAGCTAAAGAAAAAAGACAAAGATCAGAAGGAAGATTCTGAAGATCCTGACAAGAACCGGGAGGAGGAGGAGGAGGAGGAAAGGATGGAGGAGGAGGAACCAAATGAGGAGGAAGAGGAGGAGGAAGAGGAGGTGGATAGCTGAGCTGCTGCCAGGCCTGGGCATGTGGAACAAATGCAGCTGCCCCTTGTTCAAAGCAAAGTGCTCTGTGGGTGCCATGACTGATAAGGGGAAAGCTAGTTCCCCCCACCCCAACTGGAGCACATTTCCTGTGATGCTGAAGAAAAGTCTCTTCCCATCCCAGCAGAATGTCCGGGGCAGCTGAACAATACTTGTTGGGCCCTCGGTGTTCGGGGAAGTAAATGCGGAGCACCTAGGGGCCCCACGAAGCTAGATGAAATGGACATGAATGAAATGAGCTGGCTTAGCTAACTGCCCCGAAATTGACTCTAGCAGGTCTGCTTTAAATTCGGGGAGTAAAGGATTGTAGTCATTACTGGATAGGACTTAACATGGGAGAATGGCGACTCTCTCTCTGGCCTGCAGGCCTGTGTTTGCTCTGCATTCCAGCTTTTCATATGAGGCTTTTTGGATTCACTGAGAGCTCATCTTTTCTCAGGCTCTGGAGGTTTTCTTCATTTCTGATTCAACCATGAACGTTTTCCATCTGCTGTCCAAAGTGTGCTATGTTTTTGTTCTTCCAAAGCTCTCAGTTTATGAGAAATAAAGCTCATGCTTAACTGCCTTAGGTCTTAACCCATTTATACACTCGGGATCTTTGTTCTGACCATGTGCATGCAGAAGGGAGCAGTCTTCAGTAAAGTAGACCACAATGGTAGGCGCTCCTTGTTGAGCAGGTATGTTCACTTGTTCTTCGCTTGTGATCACATGGAAAGGATTGTGGGTTTGGGGGGATACGGACTGTTGCATTTTTTTCTAATGCACCAGCACAGTTAACTATTTCCTCTTCCCCTGCTGGCCCTTCTTTTCTGCTGGGGTCCATGTGTGCTTGCTTTTGTCCTTCAGTGGATGAAAGTGAACTTTGTGTGGCCGTCCCTTCCCCCTTGGCTAACAGCCCACATCTGCCTCCAGTCAGTGCAGCACAACCTTATGCATGGTTGCCCAGAAGTCTTTCTGTTCAGTAGCATTACTCGCTAGTAAGTTTGCTTGAGATTGCAGCCATAGGCTATTAAAGTTTGTTGCAGAAGCCAGCCTTGTGGTAGGAGTGTAAAAGTGCCACAATTACACTTGTCACCAAGAGTTTTGAACTCTGGACATGTTTCTTGTTGATTGGGCTGATCAAGAACTCATGCCACATTACAAATAATAAAAGTTAACATACGGCTCCCTATTTAGAATGTATATTCTAAATTTTGGCATGAAAAGGCCAAATCAAAAGAAACCAGATTTAACTATACAGAAAAATTAGAGTCCAGAGAATGGCAACAAAAATGATCCAGGGTTTGGAAACACTCTCCTATGAGGAGAGACTGAAAGAACTGGGCCTTGAGAAGAGAAGATAGGACATGATATCCCTCTATAAGTACCTCAAAGGCTGTCACGAAGAGGAAGGTCAAGATCTTTTCTTGCTGAAAAGGACACGAAATAATTCAAGTCGAGACAACCCCGATTCAGGCTGGACATCAGGAAGAGCTTCCTCACGGTCGGAGCAATGTGACAGTGGAACCAGCTGCCCGGAGAGGTGGGCTTTCCCACACTGGAGACATCCGGAAAGGGACCGGACGGCCATCTGAGTGGGCGGGGCGGGGGGCGGGGGGGGGCGTGGCCGGCAGGCCGGGCGGGGGGCGGGGTACAGGGGCCGCCGGGAAAGCGGGTCCGGGCGGCGCTTGTCGGGCTGAGGACGGACTGGCGGGCGGTGAGTCCGGGCGCCGCGCTCTCCTCCGGCTGGCTGTGGGAGCGGCCCGAGCCGGCTGCGGCTCCGGGCAAGGGCGCAGCTCCCGCGGGAGGGCCCGTGGGCGCGGCGCGGGCTCGGCCCGGAACGCCGCGGAGGCCCCGAGACGGCGCCCGCGATTTGCTCCGCAGCTCCCGGGGGCGGGAAAGGTCGCCGCTTTCCCTGCCGAGCCTCCCTCCCCCGCACGCTCGGAGCCCTTGCCGGTGCGGGGCCCGGGCCCTGGGGGGGGGGGGGGGGCGGCACTCTGTACACGCTTAGAGTACCTGCGCTGAAGGCCCCCCCTTGTCCGCAGCGGCATCTGGGAGAGGGTGCCAGCCCCCCTTCCCGAAGGTTGGTCGTCTGCAGGTCCCCACAGTGCTGGGGCTTCAGCGAGAAACTACGGAGCTGCTTCTAGGGTCAGAATGGCGTGCGCCCAGGGCTGCTCACACTTTACCCCGGTGGGGAGCTTGCCCTCTTCGGGCTGTTCCCCCCATTTCTAAAGGGTGCCTCTGTTCAGAACCCTAGATTCTGGGATACTTGCTTGGCAGTGAGGCACAGGGACTCTTCTTTATTTTTCCATGCAATTTTGAGACGGGGAGGGAACCGACCTGCCAAGCAGTGCCTGGGGATTCCTCATCCGGTGGAGAAAAGCATGGCTAGGCAGGCTTCCCTGGAAGGCACTTTGCTTGCCGCTGCTGTGACTTCCCCCTTCTCTGAGCATCCTCAGGAGAGCTCGCAGAGCCCCAGATCCTGCATGGGGCAAGTGGCAGGTCTGGCTGGCATTCCTCGTATTGCTGTGCATGCCCGGGGCAGGGTAGGAAGCCTCGGTACTGTGGGAGGGCTACAGAGGTTACCTGGTACACTAGTCAGTGATACAGAAGTGTCCAGGATGTGTTTAAACGCCTCTTTTAACATGCCGCCTATGCCTGTTTCTTATGTCCAGGTGAAGACGCAAGAGGCGATACGATGCAGGCAGAGTCTCTCCTGCACAGCGGTTACTTCCACCCTGTGCTTCGTTCCTGGCAGGCGTCAGCTGCTGCCTTGAGCGCCACTCACCTGGTCTACCCCATCTTTGTCACGTGAGTGTCTCCCTGCCTTCAGGGCCTCTTTGAGACTTCGCCGAGGGAAGACTTGGGTGGCCTCTGTGTAATGCAGGATGCTGGCCTTGGTGGAGTTTAGCTCCAGATCCCGGGTGCTGGGATTGTAGCAGGCAGGATTCCTGCACATGCCACAAGGGTGTTGCTCTTGGCTCTGAGCTTCGCTGGGGGGGAGTGGAGTGGAGTGCAATTTCTGTGTGGTCCACTTCTGTGTCTTGCTTTCAGCCATCTTAGCATCCATCTCATGCCAGGTCCCTCGCTTTCCTTGCCCCTCCTGTTTGATCCTTGTAGTGACAACCCAGATGCTGTGGAGCCCATTGCCAGCCTCCCGGGCCAAGCTCGGTAAGTGTCCTTCACACTGTCAGTTACGCTAAGGAAAAGGGCCCCTTTGGTTTGTCTAGTCCAGAGAAGTCTGTAGAAGAGCCGTCATCTCTCAGGCTAGGTTGGTCTATGCTTCTGCGTCTTTCTCTAGTTATAATCCAATTCAAAGTTATTCATCTTTATTCCCTGTCCCCATCACAAGGAACAGCCGGTGTGGTGTGGTGTGGTGTGGTGTGGTGTGGTGTGTGGTCTGGTGCAGCGCAAGTGCAGTGGCAAAGAGTGTGGGACTGAGACTCGGATGATCGGGGTTCTAGCCCCCACTTGGCCGTGGAGCCAACTAGGTGAGTTTGGGTCAGTCGCAGACTCTCAGCCCAACCGAGAGCAAGAGGAGGGTAACGATGTAAGTTGCCTTGAATTCTTTAAAAAAAGGAAAAGGGAGGATTGAAATCTAATAATTAACTAATGAAGGATTGCTTTCAGCTCTTTCTCAGCTGGCTTTGTCAGAAGCCTTCAGCCGCCAGAAAGCACCGAGTGCACGTATTCTTGCTCCCAGTGCCCACTGAAAGGGCCTTGCGTTCTTTTCCCTGGTTTCCCTGCCTTTCCTCTGACTCAGGCCAGCGCTTTTCTTTTGGGGCCTGCAAGATAGCAGATCCCTCCAGGGTGGAGCTGCTGAGCAGCCTTTTCTCCACTCAGGAAGGTACAAGATAAAGCTGCTGTGGCCGTGGGCTGCAACCTGGGGACAGCAGATAAGCAGGTGTGTGACTGGGCCCCAGCCCATTCACTGGAGTGCTGGGTATGATGGGCTGCACCCGACTCAGTAGGGAGCCCAAGATGGCTATGGCTCGATCTGGAAATGGGCCTGCGGCCTCTGCAAACACCCCTGCCTTTACTTATGGACCTGCCCCCCTCCCAGGTATGGCGTCCACAAGCTGGAGGAGATGCTGCGTCCCCTGGTGACTGACGGCCTGAAGTGCGTGCTGCTGTTCGGGGTCCCAAGCAATGCTGTCAAGGTGTGGACCTGGGGCATGGCAGAGGCAGGCGTGGGTGGACCCCGGGGCAAAGCACGCTCACTGCTGCGGAGCCGCCTGTGGCTGTGGCCCGTCCACATAGTGCGTCAGTGCGCTAGTTTCTCTCTTGCTCTGCAGGATGAGCATGGCTCCACAGCCGATGCTAAAGACACCCCCGTGATTCAGGCTATCAAGACAATCCATGGATCTTTCCCTGAGTTGCTGATTGCCTGTGATGTCTGCCTGTGCCCTTACACCTCTCACGGACACTGCGGTAAATGCGGCCGTGCAGGAGGCCTTGCAGCGCTGCAGTGCATGGGCCGCCGGCAGGTTCCTCAGGGCCGGCTGGACGATGCAGGTGCCCCTCTCCTGGCCACGAGGAGGGCCAAGCACGCCTGTGGCGTGGGTGTGCCCAGCCCCCTGGCCCCGGAAGGTGTGGCGTAGTCTCGCTTCCGGCTCATCTTGGAGGCCACTGCCCGCACCCTGGTTGCTCAGTCTTCCAATGGCTGTGTGTCACCCCCAGCCTCAGAGGCAGGCTGCTCCTGTAGAGGATATTCTGGGACACCGCTCAGAAGGAGCCCTGGGCTTTCCACAGGCTGCTGATCTGCTGCTGTGCAAGCAGAAGGTCAGACTGGACGGGCTTTCAGTCTTAATTGGCAGGGCTGCCCGCATGTGCGTGAGGCGAGAGGCTCGCTTTTCTCGCTTGCAGTATGTGGATGCAGCATAGCTGCAACCCCAGGCGGGCACGGGCTTTCTTGCATTTGGTTCAAAGAGGCCCGGCTCACATGCTGGATTTGGAAGCCTGGAGGGAAGGACAAGCAACGGAATCTGAATGGACCCATCCTGGGACTGAGGATCTGTCAGCCTTGTGTGCTGACTGTTGTCCATGCCTTTCCAGGCATCCTGCGGGAAGATGGGACCCTCCAGAACGAGGCCAGCTGCCGGAGGCTAGCGGAGGTGGCTGTGGCCTACGCCAAGGCAGGTGAGAGGCGAGTCAGCTGTGTCATCAAGAGCAGTGTCGGGGCCATTGGAGATGGTCCTCCCTCCCTCCCACGGAGTCAGACCGATCACAGAAGGGGTATCTGCTGCAAGTTCAGAATTAGCTTGTGGGCATCCTTCACAGGTTCTCTCCGAAAGGACCTCAGATGACAGTCTGAATGTCCAGGCAGGCATGTATGGATGCAGGAGCTCTGCTTGTGCCCGGGCACGGGTGTGGGGGGCAGGATGCGGGACTGCACAGACTGATGGGATGGACTGGCTTGGGGTCGGGCTGCCTCCAGGCGCTTTAGAGAGGGCTTGCGGGCCTCCCTTGCCCTGCTGCTCCCTTCCAGGCTGTCACATCGTGGCCCCCTCGGATATGATGGACGGGCGCATCTGTGCAATCAAGGAGGCCCTCATCTCGCACGACATGGGCAATAAGGTGGGTGAGGGGGAAGCCGCCTGGATGGGCCGCCGCTTTTCCAGGTCCAGAGTGCCTTGCCGTGGAGCGGGGCCCTGGTGCTGGTCCAGGGCTGGTCGGGGCTCTCCTGCAGGCCGGCCGCAGGGGCTGAGGGCCCCGCTCTGCACTGTGGCTGCTTGACGCGGCCACGGTGGAGCCTCTCGAGCCTCGGAGGAGGGATTCCCGCAGCCCTTTTATCGGTTCCAAGAGGGTTACGTGAAGGGCTCGGCGCCCCCTCACCTCTCTGTGTCTGCAGGTTTCGGTCATGAGCTACAGTGCGAAATTTGCCTCCTGCTTCTATGGCCCGTTCAGGTAAGGGCAGTTCTTTCAGGCTTCGGAGCCAGGAGTGCCTCCATGTGGCCTCACAAGCCGGGGACTACCCTGTCTCCTGGCTTCTCTGATGGGCCAGCCTTGGTGAGGGGAGGGGTAGTGGTGGGGAAACCAACACCTTTGAGTCTTCCCTAACCAGGACGAACTCTGGGTCCTGTTGCTGGAAGCGGGGCCTTAACGGTCCCCTTCTTCATGAGCGGGAGGTGAAGCTGCAGGGGATGGCCTGGAAAGCCACCTGCGGCGAGCCTCACTGCCCGGCCCTGTCTGTCTGTCTGTCTGTCTGTCTGTAGAGACGCAGCCCTGTCTAAGCCTGCGTTTGGAGACAGGCGGTGTTACCAGCTCCCTCCAGCGTCCCGGGGGCTGGCTCTGCGGGCTGTGGTGAGTACAGTCTGGCACCCGTCCGTTGTTCCCTTTTCCCTGGGACCACCCCGGCCCCACCTCGTGCCATCTCCTTAGACATGGAAGTGCCTGACAGCGAAGGCCTTGTTGGTCTGGGGTGAACATCCTCCCCATGGCTGAAAACAGAGGCCCTCTTAGCTGGTTGAGTGTCACAGGTGCTGGGGTTGAGCCTGAGCTGCCCTGCCCCCCCTTCCCGCTTTGAAATGGCCCCATTTCTCTCTCTCTCTCGCCCTTCCCTGCTTCCTTAAGATGAGTTGAGCTGGGGTAGCAGGAACAGGTCTTTGTTGACACTGAAATGGCAGCTCAAGACTGCTGTAGTAGAGCGTGTGCTTCGAGATGTTCTAAGATCCCTGCTTCAGACCCTGCGACTTCTTCTTGTAGAAATGTATAAGTTATCTTACGAAACCCCCTATCCCGGGAGAGAATCAGTTGAGCAGGTGGTCTGGCAGTCTGATGTGAGGTGCGTTAAATTGGCCCCGAGATCCGTGCTTGCTTGAGGTCTGTCCGCTTCCCAATAATCCCAGGGCAAGACCAGCAGCCGTGCGTGAGACCCCAGTCACCTTGAGCACAGACTGCCAGCATGCCTGGAAGCGCTCTGCTCCTGGCTGGCCCCTGACCGCCTTGCCTGCAGATGAAGGGCTGGAGGCTGGGCTCCTAAACTGCCTCGGCTTATTACTTTGCAGGGTGTTTTCTGCAGGGTTGAGTTGTTACCTAATGCCAGTTTCGTTTTGTAATACTTAGGCTAAAACTCTGAGAACTGTCTTTAGTTCGATAACGGTTAATAATCTACCTAACAGGCTAACAGTTAAAATTCTACCTAATAATGAAAGTTGTCTAAGGGTTACATGGTGAAAGAACAAGCCCAGGCCCGTGGGTGGCAGAAAAACATTTAAGCCAACCAGGGACAGGCTGTCCGGGTGCTGAAGGGGTGTGGGGCGGGGGGCCGTGGCGCCGTTGCATGCCAGGGCTCCAGGCTCTCCTGCTCTGCTCCAGCAGGAAAGAAAGGGAGAGACTTCAACCCATCACCTGCAGCTCATCTTGGCTTAGTGCAGCTGACGGGGTGAATTGCTGCCCCATCGCACCAAAACCAACAGAGACGTGAAGGGAGCCGCATCTTCACCAGAATGGGTTACCACTGTGGTGCGGGAGACCTTCTGAGCTACTGTGGGGTTGCTCAGCCATGAGAGGAGCCTTCCTATCAGCAGGGCCCAAGACTGAGGGGAAAAGCAGCTGCCTTGCATGCCAAGTCCCCCCCGTTCCAGCGCTGGCTACCACACGAGTGGCTGAAGCGGGCTGGGGAGCAGGCGAGGGCAACCGCAGAACTCAGAAGTGACCAGGTTGGCTCAGTCTGGGGCAGAGGGTCTGGCCTGAGGTGGATCGCTTCCATGTTGCTTCTCATAGCCCGCCTGTTCTTGTTGTGTGTTCTCTCCCTCCCAGGACCGGGATGTGCGGGAGGGGACAGACATCCTAATGGTAAAGCCAGGGATGCCCTACCTGGACCTCGTGCGGGAAGTGAAGAGCAAAGTAAGCCTCCGGGCTGGGGGGTGGCGTTGGGGGGGGCGGTCTGGCCGTTGCAGCCTCTCAGCAGCAGTGGTGCAGCAGCTGTGTGTGTGTGTCTCCCAGCATCCCAACCACCCACTGGCTGTCTATCACGTCTCAGGGGAGTTCGCCATGTTGTGGCACGGTGCACAAGCGGGGGCTTTTGACCTGAAGCCTGCAGTGTTGGAAGCCATGGCTGGGTTCAAGCGTGCAGGTAACCAAGGAGGGCGCAGGAGGGTGGAAACGCAGCCGGAGGAGTGTACCCACCTGGGCTGAGGTGTCCACTCTCTTCTGGGCTGCTGGTGGCACGAATGGGCCTCAAGACACCCTGCCAGAGGGCCTTTGGCCCTTGACCTACGGCAAGCATATTTAAGTGGCCAGCTCAAACATGCTGAGCCCTGTGTGGGTAATAAAAATACAGCGCTCCGAGGTAGAAAAGTGCAGTTTAGAACAGGAAGGTGGAGATGGGAGGGTGTAGGAAGAGCAGCGGAGATGAAATAGAATAAACCGAGGGAAGTACGTGGCTATCAAGAAAAAGACTTTTAAGCCAGGAGAGGTATATGAAACTAAATGCTGGGACATTGAAAAAAGAAATTGTTTTCATGAGTGATTTTAATAAAAAGAAATAATTACTTTCCAGGGGCAGATATCATCATTACGTACTACGCACCTCAGTTGCTGCAGTGGCTGAAGGCAGAGCAGGCGTGAGCTTTGCATCCTTTCCTTGACAATGAGGATGGGATGAAGACGCTCTGCAGGGATCTGGGAACTCGGGCCCTAGCATTCATTATGGGCTTTAGCATCATGATCTGGTCCACACTGACACAACCGCTCCTCACTTGCCTCAAATGTCTGTCCTGTACAATGCCTTCTCTTCATTTAATTGCACCCCGCTTGCTACCTTTCCAGGGCACTTTTTAAAGCTCAGGAGAACTGTCTATAGTATAGAACTGTATAGAACTGTCTATACAACTGCCTATAGTTGTAAGGTTCAACACAACCAGTGTCAAGAGAATGCTTTTATAGAAACAACATGCTGTTAAACTTTAGGTGGGTTTAACTCTACCTGCTTGCTGTATTTCTATGCTGAAAATGTTGATTTTTTATAGGCTATACAGCTGTTAAGGGTTCAGGAGCCCTGCTGGAACAATGGGAATAAAGTGGGAGGAACCCTATTTGTAACTTCTGAGTTCTTGTCGAGTAAGTTTGGGATCTTTTTAAATAAGGGACCCAGCTGCTACAGCCTTTGGCCAAGTTGCCCCTTCTTTCCAGGCTGGGACACAGCTTCATGGGAATTCACCATGTCTTCATGCCTTTAAATGCTTCTCAGGCAAGCCAAAAGTAGCACTGGGGAAGTTGGCTCCAGCTTTTCCAACCACTGGGGAAATACTGGGTGTCTCGTTAGACTTCTGCAGCTTGCACAGGAGACAATTCGAGCATCACCTTGACGTCTGCATCAGTATGTCGGAACGGGAGCAGATGCCCTGGTCTGATCTACTTGTGTGCCGAAGTCACAAGACTGTGATGAACGCTGCCAGTTCTTTTCCCATCAAGCTGCACAGCAACACAGCCTGCTAGAAAGAGTGGTGCCACTTACAGTTTTGACGAGGGAAGATCCCTTTATTTACAACTCCCAGCAACTGCTTGCGTCTTCATGCTTTTTCTCTGAGCCTGAGAGCTGCTTGCATTTACTGCTTTCCTTTTTGCTGAGGAAATGAGAAATCAGTGGAGCTCAATTCCAGCCTTCTGCAGGCTGAAGTGAAGGGGAAAAAAATAGAGGGCTAATGTTTTGGGAAATGCATGGTTTTATGTAGGGTATTGCTATTTTTGTGATTGTGGCAGTATTTTGGAAGTGCTGACCCCTACACATTGGCAGTGGGGTGTGCTGGAACACAGTGGTGGGCTAGTTGTGCTGGATGGAGGAATGAGTGCCCCCCCCCCCCCAGGCAGGGCTTGCATTCCTCTTGCACCGTGTGTGCTACCCGGAAGATTGCGTGGAGTCCTAGCAAAGGGTTCCTGCTGGGCACAAAGAGGCTCAGGGAACCAAGCTTCAAGGTGGATGCCAGGAAGTCCTTCCAGACAGTTAGGACTGCCAGGGCACGGAAAGGGCTTCCACGGGAGGTGGAGGAAGCCCCATGAGAGAGGGTGTTGACAGTCTGGACAGGCACTTTGTAGGCGTGCCATGAGCGGAGGTGGCTGCAGCCCGGGGTCAGGCTAGATGGCCCGGGAGACCCCTTCTGGCTCGCTCTGCTGAGGCAGCGCTGCTTTCCGCCCCAAGCCTCCCCAACGGTTCTCTCCTGCGCGCCCCAGTGTCACTGGCACAGCGACCTCGGCCTCCCCGAGAGGCCTCCGGGCAGGGGGAAGGCGAGCGCCGCAGCTCCCTTGGAGAGCGTTCGCGCGGCCTCCGCGCTGCGTTTGCCAGGCCGGCGCAGACTGGCCGCGCAGCACTGCAAGGCAGGGAGCGCGCATCCTCCCGAGTCCGCTCCGCGCGGAGCGCATGCGCGGGCCTGCACGGAGCGCGGCTTGGGGGCGGGGCGAGGACGGCCTGGATCCTTCCGCGGGGCGCGCTTGCGGAGAGCAGGTGAGGACAGTCGGCTGGGCGCGCCCTTCCCGCGGCGGCGGCCGGTCCCCTTTCCGCTCCCTCGGGCGCCCTCGGCTCCGCGGCCGGCGCTGCTCTGGCGCGGCCGTCCGGCTCCCCGCCGCTTGCGCGTAGCAGCCGGTGGCGCCGCCGCAGGAGGGCCGGCGCTTCGGCAGCGGTTCCGGCACCGCCCCCCCCCCGCCCCCGGGCCGGGCTGGTAGGAGGCCCCGCGAGTGCCCCGGCGCCGTGGCTTTCAGTGCGCGTTGCGCGCCACACCGCCTCGCCTGGCGAGTGTTCCCAACGAAATACGCATGGGGTGCTGCCGAAGGGGGCGCAGAGGGCGCCCCGTCGATCCTGGCAGCGCCAAGGCCCCCCTCCTGCGTTGCTTACCTGGCGGGGCCCTGGCGGCCCCTGCGCCTTTTCTGCCCCCAGCAAAGGGACCCCGCCCGTGCCAACCTGCTGCCTCCCAATGAAAGCCTTCTTTTAACGGCCACCATAAGAAAGCTGCGCCTTTTCTCCAGGAGAACTATTTGCCAGGATCCTAATTGCTCGGGCTCGGTGGGCCCACTGACGTGGCTCCCCACCCATGTGCGTGGCATCCTCTGTGGTTCTTGGCTTCCAGTTGTTTTTGCCCTCTCCGTAGCTATTCTATGCTGTATGTATACTTGCTGAGTTTGCTGAGATCATGCTTCGGCTTCGACTTCTGACATGGGACGTGAAGGACACCCTTCTGCGGCTCCGGATCCCGGTGGGTGAGAGCTATGCTGCCGAAGCTCTAGCCCATGGCCTCCAGGTGAGAGCAGAAACTCTCAGCCGATCATTCCACCAGGCCTACAAAGCCCAGTGCCAGTGTCTGCCCAACTATGGTATCAATCATGGCCTCTGCTCCAGGAAGTGGTGGTTGAGGATCATCATGGAGACCTTCCGCCGCTCTGGAGTCCATGATGATGGCATTCTTCAGCCCATTGCAGAGAAGCTGTACTGGGATTACTGCCGTGCAGATTACTGGGAGCCGCTTCCAGGGGCCAGGGAGACACTGCAGCAGTGCTGGGAGTTGGGCCTCCCCATGGCAGTCATCTCCAACTTTGACAGGAGGCTGCAGGCAATTCTGAGCCTGTGCAGCCTCCGGCAGTACTTCCAGTTTGTTTTGTGCTCGGAAGAGGTGGGCTTTGCCAAGCCAGACAAACGGATTTTTCTGAAAGCCCTTCGCATTTCTGGAGTGCCCCCGCAGCTGGCTGCGCATGTGGGGGATCACTATCTGAAGGACTACAGGGCAGCTAGGGAAGTGGGGATGCACGGCTTTCTCCTGAAGACTGCTGACCAGCCTGCAGAGTGGGATGTGGAGCTGCCAGAAGAGCATGTCCTGCCCTCACTTCCTCACCTGCTGTCACTTATAGAGAAGGAGTAGGAGATGGACTCTGAGAAGAGCCTGCAAACTCACTGACTGGGTCTTTTCCAGCCTGATCCATTTAAGTCGTTAAAGGCAGGGTTGGTTCATTTGGGTGCCACGCTAGCTACATTCAAAAAGCAAAATGCAACTGAAGTATGTCAGAGGGGAAGGACCAGAGCCATGGACCCAGTGCGGCAGGATTTGTGCTCTCCATTGGAGGCCTCCTGTTCATTTCTAGATCCCATAAACAAGACCCTTTTGTGTTGGGTGTAGCAAGACAAATTCCGTGTTTTTTAAACTCCTCTAGTAGCACTCATTTAAATCAAGCATGGTTGATTACCGTGCCAAGTCTTTCACAGTCCTGACAGTACTAATTCTTAAATTCTGTTAACCCATTAGCATTCCATTTTATAGGTGTATGGGAAACTAAAGATAGAGAAATAACCTGTCCGGGACCATGACATGCCATACATCTCTGCGAAAGGAGGTGGTCGCACGGGAACACGAGTTTTTCATCATGGGGGGCGGGGTGAAATGGAAATGATTAAACCAGCTGGCCCTTAAGGGGGCTGCGAGGCCATTAGCAGGCCCAAGAAGAGGAATTGCAGTGTGTGGGAGTCCTAACTGACGATACATGGGAAAGGAGAAGTGCAGGGGGAGTAGGTCTCTTTGAACTCTCCTCTGAACTTTTCCCACACTGCAAGAAGCGAGAATCATCACTGCTCTTGGGGGTCCCAGCCCCACACGGGGGCCTGTTCCAGATGGCATTTTCCAGAGGAGTCTGCAGTACTAAAAGGCCTGGGGGAAGGGTTCCCTGCTGCTTACTCACTGATCGGGGCAGGCTCTGTCCCCTCCTGCCTCCATGTGGCCCGGAGTGTTATGGCCCAACCCATGTTGTTTCCACGCCATTCCATGAGGTAGGCCAGGCTGAGCAGAGGGGCTGGCCCAAGGAGGTGCCGCAGGGAGCTTCATGAACTTGGGCTCTGCTCCCTTCCCACTCCAGGCAGCGTGCCCCTTAGACGACGCTATGCTTCCCTAACAAGTCGCACCTCCATTGTGAAGCTTTTGTCTTGCTCCACACACTGCTTGTTCCCAGGACCACCAACACAACTGAATGTGCGAATAATGGGAATGAGGCACATGGAGGCTCCACTCACCCACTGAATTTCCTGTTCAGTTTTTTGAAAACCTGAGTTGCTTAACTTAATATGCCCTTCAGAATGTGACAAACCCTCTTCTGGGATGCTACAGCAGGAAAACCGAGGGAAAAGTGCAGAATATTGTATTAGACGCAGAATCCAACTTCGTAAGAATAATTTTAAAAAGTTTCTAGTACTCATGGCTGCAAACATATGCTTGGAAATTTGTGGGTAACGGATGTGAGCTCTCAGAGGCTGTGTAAATTTTCAGTGGTTAGGAGTGGGACTCTTGGCCTCTCCTAATGATTAGAAAAGCTAGAATAAATTATATGAAATAAAGATTCCAACTTTTGGCAAAATAACAAGCAATTCTGTGCCTACTTCCTCTTTTTGCATAGAGCTTGCAGAATCCAAATTTTCTTGTGTACAGGAATTAATGTTTTGGTGCCAGCTGGGGGAGTACATAGAAAGGACAATCATGCTTTGGCAGACTTGCAGCTGTATCGCTCAATATGCCAGGGAGCAGCCCTTGCAAGTCTCTGCACAGCCACAGCCACTGATGGCATACAGTGGGGGCAGTTCAACTAATACAAAGTGGAACCCTTCCTCTCCCAGCACTCACCCGCACAGGCCCATTCCGCCGACCATACCTGAGCAAGATGTCTTACCCCTAGGAGAGGACGGCTGCAGATTCAGGAGGGGTTCCAACCCATCAGGTACAGGCTTGTGGTAAAAGCCACAAGGAAGGGCGAGCGGAATGGCAGGCAGCCATGATTTCAACAGGATGGGCCAGCCCTGTGCATGTCAGGGAATCCCAGCCTCACAGCAGTGGGAAAGGTGCCCTGGCACAGCCTCAGTCGCAACTCACCAGAGAAATGCTTTGATCCGCCACAGCCAAGGCTGGGTAGACAGGCCCGGTGAAAGTTTCGTGGTGCGTGTAGAGAATAGTGCAGGATTCAGGGTCATAAAACAGAAGCTGTCCTGCATCCAAGTCAACCAGGACCCCAATTTCCAGGGGGCACTTGAGTAGATGTACTGCCTGGTGGTGGTTGTTGTGCGAAAACTGGAACTCCTTATCGTAGCGGGAGAACACCCAGGAGGACAGGTTGCAGCCCAGGCGGGCCTGAGGGCCTGAGCCCTTGCGCTGCACCGAAGGGTATGCGACCCCCACCTTGTAAGCACAGCTTTTGGCCACACTGATTTTCCAGGCATGGACGCCGGCACAAAAGGATTCCTCCGCCAAGCCATTGGGCCAATGGTCAAACCGCTCAGGGCCATCCAGATTGGCCCTGGTTTTCCCGGGACTGAAGGTCAAAGTCTTCTTGTCCTCTGAGAGCACCAAGAGAGGACTGATGGTCTTTTCGTCCATGAGGACTTCATCTGTGCTGGCGGAAGAGCAAACCAGTTACTGCAGGGATGACTGACCAGTAACTTAATGAAAGGGCTGCATCGTTTAGTCAATCAAATGGTTAGCCAATTAACAAAGCAATTTCTAAGTGCATTTCTTGGAATGAAGTCCTGCTGTGGAAAGAAGTCCCACAGTAAATCCATTTCACAAATCTGGATCAGCTTGTAGCTTGATCAACTGAGTAAGCACCTGCTAAGCATCCAGCAACAAATTTAGAGCAACATATTTAGTATCTTTCAAAATCCAAATAGTTGCTAAAGGCCCACCTGAGAAGAAGTATCTCCCCCTCCTCATTCTTACCTGCAGGTGGGGATGCCTCTCCTGAGATGGGGACCTCTGAGACCCCCACCTACCCTCACCAGAGTCTGCACCACTGAACCAGGGCAACAGAGCCTTTGGTGCCGTTGCTTCGCACTGCCCGTGCAGATGGGAAACCGTGGTGGCTCTCCAGGGGTCCTTCAGACAGAAGGGATGCCCCTTGCCCTGCCTGCGTGGGCTGGACACTGAGCTCAAGACTGCGCATGTGCTGGCATGATCATGCCACCAGCCAGCAGCAGCCGCCTCACGCCTGTTCAACCAGGAACACCTCCCACCGTGCCCAGCAAGCTTGCTCTCTGCTGTCTCTGCGAATGTAGCCTCAAACAGGGTGTCACCTGATTAAAGTCTTTCTACTTCAGCATTTCAAGCCAAGGTGTGCATATTTTGGCATATCTGACTTCCAAAACCCACCCCACTTTTCTGCCTGGTTCCTCCCTGGTCCCACAAGCTTGGCTGAAGCAGCACAAGTCAGGGTATGGGAGGCAGCTTGAACAACAGTGCCCAGCTGCAGAGGACGCAGCACTGACCTGAGGCCACACACAGAACAGCTGAGGCCCACAACCGGTTCAGCAATGGACTCTGGACGCACCGCGAATTAAAGTTCAACTTCTCTGAATCCTGTGGCTTCAGGATGCCCTCTGCTTCTTCTGCCCTGGCCCACACAACAACAACACAACCAGACTCAGCATGCAAGGCGAACATCAATTTTAGTGCATCGTTGCTATTCCGTGCAACACCTTAATCTAATACTAATTATTAAGAATTAATCTAGTTCTAGATTACCTTGTAATCTTAGCCCTGCAGGCAGGCCAGGAGTTCAGCCAGACTGCAAAGGGGGAAAGAGCTAGGGCAAAAAGATTTTAAACTCCCTCAAGTAGTTAGCATTGGGGAATTTGAACCTGTGACTTTTGGGGTTGCTCTCAGAACCCACAATGCCCCCATTCTTTGCAGGACACATATGGATTTAAGAGCATAAGAGGAGCTTTGGTGCTGGATCAAACCACGAACCATCTTGCTCCACATGCTTGGGGTGAGAACTAGTAGCCACCAATGGTTTTCTCCTCTGTGAATTTCTTCAAACTCTTTAAAAAACCATCCAATTTGTTGGGCATCATGTTGTGGAAGTGAATTCCATCATTTAACTTGGCGCTTGGTGAGGGAGTCCTTCCTTTCATCTGTCCTGAATCTCCCACCAATCAGCCTCATGGGTGGATCCGTCTGAGTGCTGGTATGAGAGAAGAAGAAATTTTCCTTCTACGTTACTTTTTCTACACCATGCGCTTCACTACTAGCACAGCTCTTCCTACGTTCTTAGGGCTTGCAGCTGAGGAAGCTGGACGTGCTCAGTTGGTAGCAGGGATCCAAAATTGATCCATCTGGGGCTCACCTCTCATATATTTCCTCCTCTGCCTGCTAAACACAAGAGAGACACACAGAGAGAAAGTTACAAAAGATGAAGACCCAAGAACTTAGCATTACCAAAACAAAGTGAGTGCCGATCCCTTGGAAATCCCCAACAAAGAGCAGGAGGGCCCGGAGCACCTCCTCTGTAGGCACAATATTCCTAATTACATCCTATGATAAAAAAGGATCAGGTTGCAAGAAAAATCCCATCACACTTCCTGAGAGTCTAGCGAGTAAACCAGGTGGCTGAGAAGTGCTAATGTTCTGGCCAGGTGGGACAAGATTGAAAATTTTATTTATTTATTTCAAACGTTTACATCCCATCCTTCCAACAAGCGCTCAGGACAGCTTACATAATGTAAAATTACAATAATACAATAATAAAACCACAATTATTAAAACAATATAAAACAGGCCTTCATAAACTAAGAAAAAAGGGAGGAAAAGAATAGAAAATGTGACTCTGGGGAAGGAAAAATAATCTTAAAACATCTAATACCCTTGAGTATTAAAATGATGGTTGAATAAAAAGGTCTTTACCTGGCGCCGGAAGGAGTATAACACCAGCGCCAGGCGGACCTCTCTGGGGAGCGCATTCCATAGTCTGGGCACCACTGCGGAGAAGGCCCTCCTCCGGGTAGACACACTCTGTACTTCCTTAAAATTAAAAGGCCAGCAACATCTCTCTTGGCTTTCCCAGCTGGAGAGCCATTTCAGATGGGAAGTACATGGGGGTGGTAGGGTGGGAGCTGATACTGAAGTGCCGTGCCATGCCCTCCCCTGGGCTTAACCATGCTCTAATTCTGTCTGCATAAGCAGGATCTGAGACCGAGGCTGAGATCTGAGATGTCCATCAGACCTGCCAATTCCAGGCAGGCTGGGAAAAGGGCAACTGCTTAAATGGAAGGGCATCTGCAGCCCTGCTGAAGCCCCCTCCCACCTCTAAACCCCGAGTAGCTCTCACTTGAAGACAGAGAGGGTCCCTTTAGCAGATGTGCCAAGTTTATTTCTACTGCTGTTCTAAACGAGTTGCTGATTTTAGCCTACATTTTCCTTAAAATGTATATTTGTGTAATTATAACTTTTGTTGGAACTCTGCTGAATAGTGTGGCTGTTGCAAACCCCTCTGAGCACTCTGCTAGGGGAAACGTGGCACATCTCTCTCTCAGAATAGCAAGGAGCTCGAGAAGCAGGGCCGCTGCTGCCACCTGCCAAAGACTGCGGTCACCCCTCAACCGCCCCTGTCCACCAGGTCCCCTCCATGGGCCACAGTAGCCCTGTGAAGGCCCCCATCGAAAGTGATGCTCACACCACCCCTCCCCGCCCACTGCTCACCACAAGGGTGCAGTCATCCGGGGCAGTGATCATGGCCACCAGGAAGCTATGGAGGGAGTCCAGTTTCCCCAGGGAGTCATTCCAGTGGACCTGCTGGGTCGAGAGGTTCTGCTGGGCCCGCTCCTCCTCTGCGTGGACTGCCTCCAGCAGCCGCTGTTCCTCGCTCTCGCACACGCTCTTGACCAGGTTCAGGCGCTGGATGAGGACCTCCCGGGCACTGCTCGCCACAGCCTGATCAAGGATGAGAGGAAACCCGGGAAGCTGCGTGATACCAGGCCAAGCAGCTGTTGCTCCGGCTGAGTCCCACCCACTGCACTGCCTCCTGCAGCAGCTCTTCCCGGGCACCTGAAGAAGCTGCGAGGGAACGAGCCCCCAACCCTCTGCAGGCTCTGCCAGGAAGCAGCCGCCTTTCCGGGGACCCCGATTCCCCACAATTACATTTACAGTGGGGAATTCAGGGATTGCAAAAGCTGGGATCACATGTAGAGGAGGGACAGTCTGACTTCAGCACTGCACAATCCACTTCCTTTTTGAAGGGGCTGCCCCAGTGCGTCCATGCGGCTTAACTCTCCCCGACACAACACGCCATCTGTGACCTAAACTGTTCACTTCTGAAGGACTTTGCTGGCTCCTTCACATCCAGGCCAGCTGATCACAGTGGCATTTACGAGAAGCCCAGGAACCAGCTTTTGCTGGGACACCACAAGACATTAGCCAGTGTGTACCATCCGCTTCTGTCTGTGCTGCCCTGTGTGAGAAGCCGGCAGGATTCAAGCTGCCGGGCACTTTAGTCTGGGTACTGACTCTCAGTCTGACCTACCTCACAGGGCTGTTGTTGTGAAGATACAATGAAGAGGAGGAGACCCTTGTAAGCTGCTTTGGATTTTTTGCAAAAGGAAGCAAAGCAGAAAATATTTGCATGGGGGCGGCTACCCCACTTTTTCCATAGCTGCATCAGCTGTAGCTGAAAGGGTTCAAGTCATATCTGTTCCATTTCCAGAACAGCAGTTAAAATGATGGAAAAGCTTGCCAAGGAATCACACCAAGGTGATTCCGACTCAGCCCAAGACCACCTTCTTACCACAACGTGCTGTTTCTTCCTTGGCAGCAGCTCCCCCACAAATTTGGCAATTGTGGCTCTCTGCAGCTGAAGCTTTTCACACTGGTCCACAATCTTGTTCTGAAACAAATAAGTAAACAGCGGGATGATCGCCGCCTCTTACGCGATCATTTCCAGCTCCAGCTTTTGGAAGAAACTCGAGGAGCTGTTTCTGAGCACGTGCAGTGTGCACTTTGCGCGCTCACCCACCGTAGCTCACCCCAGGAACGGTCGGCCAGGAAGCCGACCTTCCGTCCCGCGCGGCTGGGACCTGGGAAGCAGAACGCGCTTCCCAGCCTCCCATTTCCGTACACCTGGCAGCTCAGCCGGGCGCGCCCGCGAGGGAAAGGCGCCCGCCCTCTGCGCGCCAGGAGCCCTTCGTGCAGCCTTGTTCGGCGCAGCGCCCGGGGAGCCGGAGCACGGCCCCGCTGAGTTGCCCGGGCGGCGGACCGGCCCGCTCGCTCGCGAGAAAGGAAGGTCCGGGCCCGGGGGCAGCTGCGGCGAGGGGCTTTCCTCCCGCCGCGCCGCTGCCGCGCCGACGGGACTCACCCTCCTGTCGGCGGCCTCCTCGGCCAGCGGGCGCAGGCGGTGCTCCCGGCAGCCGCCCGGGCACGTCAGGCAGCGAGCGCACGCCGGCCGCCTCCCGCCGCGGCAGAACCAGTCCCGCGCCAGAGCGTGCTGCGGGCAGAGCGCGGCTCCGGCGCCACGGGCCTCCTCCGGGAGCCGCTGCGCGCCTGCTTCCTGGGCCATGGCGCGCGAGGGGATTGCGGAGCCGCCGCCGCGCACCTGCTGCTCTGAGCGGGGCGGGCCGGGCCGCAGCCTCCGCCGCCGCAGGGACCGCCCTGCCGACTGCGCCGCGCCCGCAGCCGGCAGTAATTCCGCGCTGGGCGCGCACCGAAGCGCGCAGCTTGTGCCGAGGGAGGGGCCCGCCAGACTCGGGGGCACAGCGCGTTGACTGCAAGATGGGGGGG